TATTACTACATTTGAATTTTGAATCTGGCGCCAACACTGGCACAGAAGTTGGACCTGACGTCTGCAAGTTGGACCTGACGTCAGCAGCCCCCCGCCCAGAGCAATGTAAACGGCCCAGTCTCGTTCACGCCCCCTTTAGTCCTCCAGGCTACGCCCATTTAGAGGAAGATTTGAACAGGAAATGTGAGTAACGTAAGCTCCGAGGAGCGGGGGTGAGAACCACTTTAAGTTGCATTATACTGGTTTACATGGAAAAATCCCTATTAGGTTGCATGATTACACTGAAGTCCTTGAAACTGTTGAAACCTTGAAACTGTTGAAGTCCTTGAAACTGTTGAAGTCCTTGAAACTGTTGAAGTCCTTGAAACTGTTGAAACTGTTGAAACCTTGAAACTGTTGAAACCTTGAAATGGTTGAAACCTTGAAACTGTGGAAACCTTGAAACTGCTGAAGTCCTTGAAACTGTTGATGTCCTTGAAACTGCTGAAGTCCTTGAAACTGCTGAAGTCCTTGAAACTGCTGAAGTCCTTGAAACTGTTGAAGTCCTTGAAACTGTTGAAGTCCTTGAAACTCTTGAAATCTTGAAACTGCTGAAGTCCTTGAAACTGTTGAATACTTGAAACTGTTGAATCCTTGAAACTGTTGAATCCTTGAAACTGTTGAATCATTGAAACTGTAGAAATGTCTGAAAGAGCTGAAGTCCTATTAAAATGCATGGGCCTATTAAAATGCATTGCAGAATTCTCAATGCAAATTAATGGCAGAATTCCCAAGCCCGTAGAAAAAAACTGGAAAACTGCAGAACTCTAATTGATTGACTGCGGAACCTTCCGCAGTCAACCATTGGTTTTGGTGTTCTTTATTCCGTCTTTTTCCTGATTTTTGACACGTTTCACAGCTTTCACATTTTCAACAATTTCCACAAGTTATACATCAAAACGTTCCACATGTTTGGGAGATTATTGCTATTACTTTTGGGACTTCAGCGATTTCCGGTTTTTCCGCAATCGGACAAAAATCGGTCGATTTTTCCCATTGACTTATAATGGGGCTTCCACAAATTCATAGTTTTCAGAATTTTCTTCAACATTTTCAGCATTTTCTGCAGTTTGTGCATGTTCAGCTTCCACAACTTGTGAGTTTTCAGAAAAAATTTGAGTTCTGCAGTTTTCCAGTTTTTTTCTACGGGCTTGGGAATTCTGCCATTAATTTGCATTGAGAATTCTGCAATGCATTTTAATAGGCCCATGCATTTTAAGAGGACTTCAGCTCTTTCAGACATTTCTACAGTTTCAATGATTCAACAGTTTCAAGGATTCAACAGTTTCAAGGATTCAACAGTTTCAAGTATTCAACAGTTTCAAGGACTTCAGCAGTTTCAAGATTTCAAGAGTTTCAAGGACTTCAACAGTTTCAAGGACTTCAACAGTTTCAAGGACTTCAGCAGTTTCAAGGACTTCAGCAGTTTCAAGGACTTCAGCAGTTTCAAGGACATCAACAGTTTCAAGGACTTCAGCAGTTTCAAGGTTTCCACAGTTTCAAGGTTTCAACAATTTCAAGGTTTCAACAGTTTCAAGGTTTCAACAGTTTCAAGGTTTCAACAGTTTCAAGGTTTCAACAGTTTCAAGGACTTCAGTGTAATCATGCAACCTAATAGGGATTTTTCCATGTAAACCAGTATAATGCAACTTAATAGGGTTTTTTCATGTAAACCAGTATAATGCAACTTAATAGGGATTTTTTCATGTAAACCAGTATAATGCAACTTAATAGGGATTTTTCCATGTAAACCAGTACAATGCAACTTAATAGGGATTTTTCCATGTAAACCAGTACAATGCAACTTAATAGGGATTTTTCCATGTAAACCAGTATAATGCAACTTAATAGGGTTTTTTCATGTAAACCAGTATAATGCAACTTAATAGGGATTTTTCCATGTAAACCAGTATAATGCAACTTAATAGGGATTTTTCCATGTAAACCAGTACAATGCAACTTAATAGGGATTTTTCCATGTAAACCAGTACAATGCAACTTAATAGGGATTTTTCCATGTAAACCAGTATAATGCAACTTAATAGGGTTTTTTTCATGTAAACCAGTATAATGCAACTTAATGGGGATTTTTCCATGTAAACCAGTATAATGCAACTTAATGGGGATTTTTCCATGTAAACCAGTATTATGCAACTTAATAGGGATTTTTCCATGTAAACCAGTATAATGCAACTTAATAGGGTTTTTTTCATGTAAACCAGTATAATGCAACTTAATAGGGTTTTTTTCATGTAAACCAGTATAATGCAACTTAATAGGGTTTTTTTTACATGTAAACCAGTATAATGCAACTTAATAGGGATTTTTTCATGTAAACCAGTATAATGCAACTTAATGGGGATTTTTCCATGTAAACCAGTATTATGCAACTTAATAGGGATTTTTCCATGTAAACCAGTATAATGCAACTTAATAGGGGTTTTTTCATGTAAACCAGTATAATGCAACTTAATAAGGATTTTTACATGTAAACCACTATAATGTAACCTAATAGGGGTTTTTACATGTAAACCAGTATAAAGCAACTTAATAGGGATTTGTACATGTAAACCAGTATAATGCAACCTAATAGGGATTTTTCCATGTAAACCAGTATAATGCAACTTAATAGAGATTTTTCCATGTAAACCAGTATAATGCAACTTAATAGGGATTTTTCCATGTAAACCAGTATAATGCAACCTAATAGGGATTTTTCCATGTAAACCAGTATAATGCAACCTAATTGCATTATACCACCAGACCAAGACCCAAACGAAGACTCAGACCACCACCAGATAATGACCACAGACCAGGTTTCCTTAGTTACAGGAACCAAATTGTTTCAGCGGTGAGGGGATTTTTCAGTTTCAAGGACACTTTCAATACATTCAGTAGTTTCAAGGATTTCAACTGTTTAAGAATTTAACCAGTTTCAAGGATATCAGGAGGTTCAAGGATTTCAGGAGTTTCCACACTTTCAACAGTTTCCAGGTTTAAAAAAGTTTCAAGGATTTCAGGAGTTTCAATGTTTCAACAGTTTCAAGGATTTCAGGAGTTTAAAGGTTTCAACAATTTCAAGGACTTCAGGAGTTTCAAATATCTATCAAGTATTTTAACAGTTTCAAGGCCTTTTAAAGGATTTCAAGGATTTTTTTTAGCAGATTTCCACATTAGATCTGTTCCGCAGTCAATCGCAATGGCTTCAGCCATTGCAAGTTTCTAGTTTTTTCTGAAAACTCACAAGTTGTGGAAGCTGAACATGCACAAACTGCAGAAAATGCTGAAAATGTTGAAGAAAATTCTGAAAACTATGAATTTGTGGAAGCCCCATTATAAGTCAATGGGAAAAATCGACCGATTTTTGTCCGATTGCGGAAAAACCGGAAATCGCTGAAGTCCCAAAAGTAATAGCAATAATCTCCCAAACATGTGGAACGTTTTGATGTATAACTTGTGGAAATTGTTGAAAATGTGAAAGCTGTGAAACGTGTCAAAAATCAGGAAAAAGACGGAATAAAGAACACCAAAACCAATGGTTGACTGCGGAAGGTTCCGCAGTCAATCAATAATACATCGGTTTTATATAGCACTTTTCAAAGACGCTTCACAATTCAGGATACACACGTTTAGACAGACACACAAAACTAAAAATCTAAAAGCAGGAAAGAAGAGTATAAAGCTGAAACTAAGAGTCGTGTGCTTGGAGAAAGAGGTGGGTTTTTAGCTGTTTTTTGAAGGAGTTTAGTGAGTCCGACTTTCTGAGATGAGGGGGGAGAGAGTGGGAGCAGAGATGGCAGAGATGAGAGCTCGGTCCCCCAAGGTTCGGTGCTTGGATTTGACAGTGGGAGTGAGGAGAGTCTGCAGATCGGAGTCGACGGGAGGGACTGTAGGGCTGTAGCAGTTCAGTGAGGTCTGGAGGGGGTCATGGAGGGCTTTGTAGGTGATGAGGAGGACTTTGAAATGGATGCGCTGTTTAATGGGGAGCCAGTGGAGTTTGTGAAGGACAGGGGTGATGTGTTCTCTGGGTCTGAGTGATGAGTCTATGAAGGACAGGGGTGATGTGTTCTCTGGGTCTGAGTGATGAGTCTATGAAGGACAGGGGTGATGTGTTCTCTGGGTCTGAGTGATGAGTCTATGAAGGACAGGGGTGATGTGTTCTCTGGGTCTGAGTGATGAGTCTATGAAGGACAGGGGTGATGTGTTCTCTGGGTCTGAGTGATGAGTCCATGAAGGACAGTGGTGATGTGTTCTCTGGGTCTGAGTGATGAGTCCATGAAGGACAGTGGTGATGTGTTCTCTGGGTCTGAGTGATGAGTCCATGAAGGACAGGGGTGATGTGTTCTCTGGGTCTGAGTGATGAGTCTATGAAGGACAGGGGTGATGTGTTCTCTGGGTCTGAGTGATGAGGCGGGCGGCGGAGGTTTGGACATACAGTATGGTAGTTTTTGGAGATCAGATGAAGGAAGGCCGTATAAAACACTGTTGCAGAAGTCGAGTCTGGAGGATATGAAAGCATGGATCACTATAACTTTTACTTCTAACTATGTTTTAGTTCACATGTTTAACAAATACAGTCACATGACCGTAAACTCACAGGAAATGACAGAATAAGAGATAAGAAAACTCTATTTGTTCCTCAGAGGAAATGTCAATGTCAGGTACAGATTAGGTTCAGAATCATTTTTAGTGAGTAACAGGAAGTCAGATAAAAGGATATAGCTTTGGCTCTCGGTGCAAAATCAAAAGTGGAGAAGAAGAGAAAAGAGTACGGCATAGTAAGAATAATATACATTTCTAAACTATAAAGATGTTATTATTATTATTATCATTATCATTATTATCTCTAAAAATGACAGTAATCCTGGTTACTTATTTTGTTCAGCACTTTGAATTGCCTTGTGTATGAATTGTGCTATATAAATAAACTTGCCTTGCCTGGTCTTGCTGTGACCTTGCAGGTGTTCAGCCTGGTCTTCCTGCAGCTGCTCTTCACCTTCACGGTGGTCTGCGTCTTCACCTTCTCGTCCACGGTCAAAGCTCTGGTTCAGTCCAGTATCTGGCCGTACGTGTCGTCCTACATCGTGTTCGCCGTGGTCGTGATCCCGCTGAGCTTCTGCACCTCCCTGAGCCGCCGCCATCCCTGGAACCTCATCGCTCTGGTCAGGCCCCATGAGTTCATTTAATTATAGAGATCCAGGACTGAGGTTGTAGACCCAGGACTGAGGCTGTAGACCCAGGACTGAGGCTGTAGATCCAGGACTGAGGCTGTAGACCCAGGACTGAGGCTGTAGATCCAGGACTGAGGCTGTAGACCCAGGACTGAGGCTGTAGACCCAGGACTGAGGCTGTAGATCCAAGGCTGAGGCTGTAGACCCAGGACTGAGGCTGTAGATCCAGGACTGAGGCTGTAGACCCAGGACTGAGGCTGTAGACCCAGGGCCGAGGCTGTAGATCCAAGACTGAGGCTGTAGATCCAGGACTGAGGCTGTAGACCCAGGACTGAGGCTGTAGATCCAAGACTGAGGCTGTAGACCCAGGACTGAGGCTGTAGACCCAGGACTGAGGCTGTAGATCCAAGACTGAGGCTGTAGATCCACTTATGATATTTCTTGTAGATTGTTGAAGTTCTCCAGCTGTACCATGTGTCTCTCTCTCTCAGGTGGTTGTCACGGTGACGCTGTCCTACATGGTGGGGACCATCGCCTCGTACCATGACACGGTGACGGTGGTGCTGACCATGGGAGCCACTCTGGCCATCGCTCTGGCCGTCATCGCCTTCTCTGCACAGGTCACACACTCTGCACACGCTCACTGCTGTTAGTGTGTTACAGGCACACAACATACACAATACACACAACACACACAATACACACAACACATGTTTAAATCGAGAGAGAGAGCGACTAGAGACCACTAAGAGAGAGACCAGAGAGAGACCAGAGAGAGAGATCAGAGAGAGACCAGAGAGAGACCAGAGAGAGAGACCAGAGAGAGACCAGAGAGAGACCAGAGAGAGAGACCAGAGAGAGAGACCAGAGAGAGAGATCAGAGAGAGACCAGAGAGAGACCAGAGAGAGAGACCAGAGAGAGACCAGAGAGAGACCAGAGAGAGAGACCAGAGAGAGAGACCAGAGAGAGACCAGAGAGAGACCAGAGAGAGAGACCAGAGAGAGACCAGAGAGAAACCAGAGATAGAGACCAGAGAGAGACCAGAGAAAGAGACTAGAGATAGAGACCAGAGAGAAACCAGAGATAGAGACCAGAGAGAGACCAGAGAGAGACCAGAGAGAAACCAGAGAGAGACCAGAGAGAAACCAGAGAAAGAGACCAGAGAGAGACCAGAGAAAGAGACCAGAGAGAGACAGACCAGAGAGAGAGACCAAAGAGAGACCAAAGAGAGACCAGAGAGAGACCAGAGAGAGACAGAGAGAGAGAGATCAGAGACCAGAGAGAGACCAGACTAGAGAGACCAAAGAGAGAGACCAAAGAGAGAGACCAAAGAGAGACCAGAGAGAGGGAGACCAGAGAGAAACCAAAGAGAGACCAGAAAGAGGGAGGTACCAGAAAAAGACCAGAGAGAGAGACCAGAAAAAGACCAGAGAGAGACCAGAGAGAGACCAGAGAGAGACCAGATAGTGTTAGGGATCAGGGTCAGACTGACACTAGAGTCCTGTCTTGATCCTTGCTCCTGTTGTCTCCTTCCTCCAGACCCGGTACGACTTCACGGTCTGCTACGGTCTCCTCCTGGTCCTCTCCGTGGACCTCCTGATGTTTGTGGTCTTCTCCTCCTTCTATTACACGCACATGGCGCAGGTGGCGTACGGAGCTCTGGGCGCGCTGATCTTCTCTCTGGTACGTCATCAACACAACCAGAAACACTTTGATGGTTTGTTTGTGTGATTCTGGTAAAGTTGGGATCTTTCATTGTTTAATAAATTTAGTTTTTCTCCAAATATAATTTATTTAAATATCATCATACATAGGTAAAGTTTGGGTTATTGTTGGAATTATGAAACTTTTCAGTCAAAAACTTCAAAAACTGTGTTAAATCAACACAAGAGCAGAGAGAGAGACCAGAGAGAGACCAGAGAGAGACCAGAAGGAGACCAGAGAGAGACCAGAGAGAGATCAGAGAGAGGGACCAGAAGAGACCAGAGAGAGACCAGAAGGAGACCAGAGAGAGGGACCAGAGAGAGACCAGAGAGAGACCAGAGAGAGATCAGAGAGAGACCAGAGAGAGACCAGAAGGAGACCAGAGAGAGAGACCAGAAAGAGACCAGAGAGAGACCAGAGAGAGACCAGAGAGAGACCAGAGAGAGATCAGAGAGAGACCAGAGAGAGACCAGAGAGAGATCAGAGAGAGATCAGAGAGAGATCAGAGAGAGACAGTGAAGTGAGGCCAGCACAGGGGTGATGTGCTCTCTCTTAAGTGTCCCTAAGCACCAGCTTCTGGACCTAAAGAACACCAAACCATGTTGAAGCAAATGTAGTGCTGTGTCCAAATTTAAATGGACTTGTTTTGTGTCTAATAATCCACTGGTCCCCCCTGGTCTCCCATTGGTCTTCCCCTGGTCACTCCCTGGTCTCTTTCTGGTCTTCCCCTGGTCTCTCCCTGATCTATCGATGGTCCCCCTGGTCTCCCCCTCCCCGTGGTTCTTCCCTGGTCTCCTCCCTGGTCTCTCGCCTGGTCTTCCACTGGTCTCTCCCTGGTCTCTCCCTGGTCTCTCCCTGGTCTCTCCCTGGTCTCTCCCTGGTCTCTCCCTGGTCTCCCCCTGGTCTCTCCCTGGTCTCCTCCCTGGTCTCTCGCCTGGTCTTCCCCTGGTCTCCTCCCTGGTCTCTCGCCTGGTCTTCCCCTGGTCTCTCTCTCTGGTCTTCCCCTGGTCTCTCCCCCTGGTCTCCTCCCTGGTCTCTCGCCTGGTCTTCCCCTGGTCTCTCCCTGGTCTTCCCCTGGTCTCTCCCTGGTCTTCCCCTGGTCTCTCTCTCTGGTCTTCCCCTGGTCTCTCCCCCTGGTCTCCTCCCTGGTCTCTCGCCTGGTCTTCCCCTGGTCTTTCTCTCTGGTCTTCCCCTGGTCTCTCCCTGGTCTCTCGCCTGGTCTTCCCCTGGTCTCTCTCTCTGGTCTTCCCCTGGTCTCTCCCCCTGGTCTCCCCCTGGAGGGACATGGTTTTATTGTTAAATCATGAAAAATAGTGAAAGCTGAAATGGTTCTTACGGTCTGCGTCTCTCTGGCCCCAGTTCTTGATGGCGGACGTCCAGCTGATGATGGGAGACCGCGTGAACCCAGAAGAGTATGTGTTCGCGGCCCTGAGCATCTACCTGGACATCATTCTGATCTTCCTCTACCTGCTCGGGAGGAGGTGAACCCCGCCCCCCCCTCCCACCTCCTCCCCCCACCACACTCACAACAAAAGCCTGTGTTATCAATCCATAATTCCGTGTATAAATTAATTCACATTTCTCTGTGGAAAAACATGTTTACAGTCGTCGCAGTCAACATGTGACTCTGGGTTTCTCTCAGACGCAGCCGTTTCTAGCATCAAGACAAAACTAACCATTTATTATGAAGAATATATGTTTAAAAAGAATGAATGAATGTTGAAGGATGATGTAATGTGTGTATCTAGTTCTGGGTTTTAGATCCTTAGATACATAGATTTGAATGATTCTGGTTCTAAAATAAGCAACTTTAATGCTGGATATCATTTTGTGAGAATTTTCCGTGTTTTTTGTGTGTGTAAAAATAAAACAATATGATGCATTTTTTGGCCATTGTCTTCTTCATTTCATGGTGTAAAATGTGAAATGTAATCTGTAATCTCAGAGGCGTAAGAATGCACTGAATCAGATCCTTCACTGTTTATTTCTGTTTGAGGCAAAGAACATAAAAAACATCAGGGAAGCATCAAAACCGTTGTGAAATATTAGATTTTTAACCAGTTACACAACGACTCAGTAAAACCAAAGCAGTGGAACCTGTCGTAAAAACACAGAGTGACATCAGAGGACGCTATGTACAAAAAGGCAATTATTGAAAAGGCAAAACCAGCTTCAAAAGTGCAGAACAATGACAAGAACTGGATGGAATTTGGCCCAAAAATCACACATTTGAAAGTTCTGTCTGCAAACTGAAGAAAACATGTACATTTTCAGGTCATTTTACCAAATTACTGTGTTTAAAGTAGCAACAATAGCTAACATTTGACCCAATGGCAGTTCTAATAAAGTCTAACTAAGGCAGAACCAAACCCAATGTTTACAAAAGTACACAGAGCCTCCTGAACCATAAACTAACACACATGTATTTCAAAGTTTTAATATTTTAAACATTAAAAAGTAGTGCAGCGGTTTTCGGAGTTTTCAACACGGAGCGTTTTGTGAGGGTTAGTCTCTGATATTGGGGAGACTGAAGCCGACAGAAAAACAGGTCGTTTGAATGAGAAACATTTAGTGTAAAAATAAAACAATATCAGAGAATTAGAAGCAGCGCATTTACTTTCTACATTTATATTCAGCGATGTATCGAGCGGCGAGTCTCTTTGAGTCTGGTTAGCCGGGTCTCGTTAGCCGGGTCTCGTTAGCCGGGTCTCGTTAGCCGGGTCTCGTTAGCCGGGTCTCGTTAGCCGGGTCTCCTTAGCCGGGTCTCGTTAGCCGGGTCTCCTTAGCCGGGTCTCCTTAGCCGGGTCTCCTTAGCCGGGTCTCCTTAGCCGGGTCTCCTTAGCCGGGTCTCCTTAGCCGTCTCTCACCCCGCCATCTCTTCTCACTGTCTCTCCCCCCGCCGTCTCTCCTCGCCGTCTCTCCTCGCCGTCTCTCCTCGCCGTCTCTCCTCGCCGTCCCCCCCCCCCCCCCACTGTCGCTCCTCGCCGTCACCAGAGCGAGGAGTAGTTGAAGCGGACGCGCAGCAGGTACCTCATGCGCGCCTGCGACGGGTTGTAGACGATGAACTCGTTGTAGAGCAGGGAGTAGCCTCTCTTGTTGGCGGCTCCGGTGGAAACGCCAGGACCCATGGGGACCGTCATACCGTCTCTGCACACAAGGGGGAGCACTTTAATATCTGTATTATGTTTATTATCCATCTGTTATAACCGGAGAGTTCACGTACACAATCTAAACCATTGAGAACATTCAACAAGACAATTTAAAACACAAATTCCACCACAAAAAGCCAAAAAACATTCACACAATATTGGGATGTATAAGGGGCTAAAACTGAATAAATAAAATAAATTATAGTTGTTTACTGTAACGTGAATGAGGTAAGTTTGGGCCTCTATGATAAAAGTCAAGTTGGCTCAAAGTATACGCAATATTATGACAATACTTAACAAATGGCAATATTTAATTAGCAGTGAGTCAACAGCAGAATCCTACAAATCCTGAACTTTACAGTGAGGTTTAGTTGAAGTTGGCTGAATGACACTGAGAACTTGTGTTTATGATCTCAGAGACTCGTTTGCTTTAGCGAGGCAGAAGGCCACAAAACATGACACAGAGGGTTTGGAAAATATCTGTCTGGGAACCTAACACTAGACCACACTACCAGCTCTATTCACATAAACATTTGTCCCTAAAACTCTCCCTGGACTGAGCTGTCGACAAAACCTAAAACACTTCTGGTATTTCCTCACTCCTTTAGAAAACAGGGAAGATTTTCAATGAGATCTCAGTGGATTGAAATTCTTACTGGCTCTATTCACATAAACCCAGATCTGAGAACGACTGCGTGGATGAGACTTTGGATTCTCTAATGACTTTATAGACATTCCTTCTAACGCAGTAAAACTAGTGGAAGTCTGAAACCCTGGTGCCCTGCTGCTGGTACCCTGTTGCTGGTGCCTTAGTGCTGGTACCCACAGTGTGACGGCGTTGCGCGGGTCTGGTCCGGTCTGGCCCAGGCCCTTGGTGCTGTGTTTTCCTGGAGGGAGTTTGTCCGCTTCATAGTTGGCATCCAGGAGGTCGTTAGCGTCTCCCAGAGCCACCTGAGAAAGCAGAAACAGGTCAGAAATAAATAATGGTTACTTTCTTATTATAAACCAGAGAATATTTAGTAAAAGTTGCACACGGGGAACTCACAAACACAAATGACCGGAACCTTCTGAGCCACAGTTGGGTCTGTTTTCTGAGCTCTCTTTTGTTTGGTTTAGTCACGTTTATTTTCACATTTCACAATTATAAAGTGTACCTCTTTTACAACAATAAACACAGAGGTTGTAAGAACACGGATCGTAAAACAAGAAGAAGACTCGCCGCAGCTTGAAATGAGATCAACATTTGTTTGTAGTTTAATTCATTTGGTTTTACACACTTTCTTGCAAAAACACTTATACTTTACAACATATTTACAAATGTTAGTAAAAATAAAATAATTTCTTTGAATATTTCCTTTGTTTTGTTTCTTTAAAGAATGTTTAGACGGACAATGCTTCTTTAATCTTGTTGCCATTTTGGAAAGTATACATTTTCGGACTTTGGAGCCACCTTGAGACATGTTGTGATCTGATGAGGACGGGCCGAGGGTGATGTATGAATTTTGTCTTTAAAGACCTTATGACGGGTTTTTTTTTTAAAAATAGTGGATATCAAAATTGCATGACAATGTCAATTTGAAAGAGATTCCGGCAAAAAAAATCCTATATTTTATAAAAAGAAGGTGTTTTTCATGAATTTAAGCCGTCTATGCTCTAACCTGTGTGTGACGTCACAGCGGGTAACGCCCATGCATTGAAAACCATGGATCTATGCCACAGGACTGCCTTTGCTCTCTTCTCTCCACTGATGCCCAACACAATACTGCCCTCTACAGGTGACAATTGCTCACTACACATAAATTGCCGTTTTGAGAGTGAAAAAGTGTCCGAGGTGGGATTTGAACCCAAGTATCTGGATTGACAGTCTATCGACACAACAACTGGACTATCTCAGTGACAACGAAATGATACATTCTAGTAGTTATCTTAGACTCGCTGTACACGGCCTTGTCATCTTGAATATCCGCGAATAAAGAACGAATACCAAATTGTAAACAACTTACAGCGTTGAAACGTACCCACTCTGACGTCACCAAGGGCTGTGAAGTTTTTTCGTCTCTAAGGGCGTTGCTATGGGGTTATTTCGATTTGGGGGGATCAGACAAAAAAAACAACTGATTTTGAAACCTTTAGTTGTTCTCTTCTAATATAAAATGGTATTAAAACTGTATTTCTAAATAAATCAAACCCGTCATAAGGTCTTTAATTAGGTTCTTAAAGATGCAGTCAATGATTTCTGCAGAGTCGCAATTTTTTAAAACAATGTGGGGAAACCCTAAAAGTAGTCAAGTTTTCATGCGTTTTCAAATAGGAATGGACCAGATGCCTTTAACCTCACAAAATAAACACATTTTATAGCGGACAGATAGAAATAGATGGGAGTTGGTGGGGGAGGAGGGGGCGTGGTTTAGACTCGGTGCTATCCTGCTAAGCTAACCTGAATCATTTACTGCACCTGAATGTGAATATGAGTAGTGTAAATGAAGTCCGAGAGGCAGTGACCCTGACCTGCCCAGGGTGGATCCGGGTTTTTATCAGAGCCGTGACACAAGAGAACTGCTCGTAATGTCCTGTCGGGGGTTACGTAAAAGAGTTTCCACACAGCTGCATCTGACGTTACTGAAGCCGCTCTGAACAGTGCTTTTCCTAATCTCACCGCTTTCAAAATGGCGTGTGCTTTTGATGTTATTACAGGTCTGTCCTAATCCGCTCAGGTTAGGATGAAGTGTAGGCGGTTGTCAGATAGTAGTGACAGGAGTTTGGTGGTGGGTTCTGAAGGTGGCGGTTTGTTGGTTTAAAGCAGGGGTCTCCAACCTTTTTCAATCGGAGAGCTACTTTTATACAAACAAACAGGCAGAGAGCTACTCCTTTTTGCAGTTGTAATAAAAGTTGATCTAATAATTACGACCCAACTCAGGGAACACATAAAATACACATACTGTATAACCCTATATTTATACTTATAATAGATATGTAATGGGTCAAAAAGTATTCTTTGAAGTGTATTTGTTAAATTCTAATTTCTTTGGCGAGCTACCTGTAAGGGGCTGGCGAGCTACTGGTGGCTCCCGAGCTACAGGTTGGAGACCCCTGGTTTAAAGTGATAAAAATGGCGTCTAGTAGAGATCAGTCAATATGAGTTTACTGAGGCCGAACATACACATGAGGCAGGGTCTAATGCTGTTACATAAGGCCTTTTGTATATTCATATGTTTATCTTACTTGGAAGATGCCCAGTAGTTTATATAGTTTTAGATCAGTAGTTTATATAGTTTTAAAGCAGTAGTTTATATAGTTTTAGAGCAGTAGTTTATATAGTTTTAGAGCAGTAGTTTATATAGTTTTAGAGCAGAGCAGTAGTTTATATAGTTTTAGATCAGTAGTTTATATAGTTTTAGAGCAGTAGTTTATATAGTTTTAGAGCAGTAGTTTATATAGTTTTAGAGCAGATTCTTCATTGGAGGTTTTTAAATCTAAACAAAAAACACATATTTACATCTTGGCTTTGAACACCAACTTTTTTATGCATTTTTCTTTTTCTTTTGTGCCTGTGAAGCACTTTGAGCAGTAGGTGGTGTTGTGACCTGTCCTGCTCCACCCAGAGGCTACTCCACCTCTGCTGCTGTGACCCGTCCTGCTCCACCCAGAGGCTACTCCACCTCTGCTGCTGTGACCCGTCCTGCTCCACCCAGAGGCTACTCCACCTCTGCTGCTGTGACCCGTCCTGCTCCACCCAGAGGCTACTCCACCTCTGCTGCTGTGACCCATCCTGCTCCACCCAGAGGCTACTCCACCTCTGCTGCTGTGACCCGTCCTGCTCCACCCAGAGGCTACTCCACCTCTGCTGCTGTGACCCGTCCTGCTCCACCCAGAGGCTACTCCACCTCTGCTGCTGTGACCAGTCCTGCTCCACCCAGAGGCTACTCCCCCTCTGCTGCTGTGACCCGTCCTGCTCCACCCAGAGGCTACTCCACCTCTGCTGCTGTGACCCGTCCTGCTCCACCCAGAGGCTACTCCACCTCTGCTGCTGTGACCCATCCTGCTGCACCCAGAGGCTACTCGGTGGCTGAGTGGATAGCACTCTCGCCTCTCAGCAAGAAGGTCCTGGGTTCGAATCCCGGTCGGACCAGGGCCTTTCTGAGTGGAGTTTGCATGTTCTCCCCGTGTCTGCGTAGGTTTCCTCCGGGTACTCCGGTTTCCCCTACCACTAAAAATATGTCCAATAGTTCTGGCATGCGCCTCCTGTACCGGCCCCGCTCCCATCTCTGTGTGGAGTGAGAGACAAATGCCCAAAATTAACAATTGTAAACCGCTTTGAGACTCAGATCTGCAGTGAAAAAGGCGGTATATAAATAAAAACTTACTTACTTACTTACTTACTCCACCTCTGCTGCTGTGACCCGTCTCCACCCAGAGGCTACTCTACCTTTGCTGCTGTGACCCCCGTCCTGCTCCACCCAGAGGCTACTCCACCTCTGCTGCTGTGACCCGTTTTCAGCTTTTTAGAATGATCCATTTTGTTTTTTATTTTTGCTGCTACTGAACACCTGAATTTCTCTAACGTGGATCAATAAAGTATCCATCTATCTAAATGTTCTATACAAATAAATCTGACGTGACATTGTTTTGTTCATTGCACCTGTATCCCTCATCTCTAATACTCAAGTGGAAAACCAGCAGTAAAACATAAGAAGGTAGGCTCAGGCTGAAGTCTAGCCTTCGCTCCAAACGGCACTCACCTCGCAGAGCAGCAGCAGTCCCACGTTGTTCTGTCGAGTCGCAAAGCAGTAGTTTGCACTTTTGGACGACATGTCGGCAAAGTAAATCCCCTTTCCAAACTGAAATGATAGAAAAGAGATTAAATGCATCTAAAAAGAGTGGGGAAAAAATGTGACAATTCAATATTATTGCTATTCTCAACATATCGCGATACAGTAACTTTTGTGATTTGATTCAGTGATATATTGTGATTCAAGACTTTACAAACATTCTAGTACAAATTACATTTCGTACTAAGGTCTGGATTTGCTCCATTGACTCCGTGAACAGGTGGGAGGGGTTAACTCCTTTTGCAGATTGAAACGATTGGATCTGAGTTTACCGTGACGTATGTAATGAGCTTGAGTGAGCCGTTAGCATTTAGCCTAGCTTTAGCCATCTCCTTTGCCGCTAACTGAGCCCGTGGGGAGTAGTGCCACAATCTCAACCAGCGTTTACCTTTGCTAAACATTCCTCTTGCTCCGGCTTCAATTTCTTGATAGAACCAGACCGGAATACTTTACTATCACATTCTTCTCCAAACTACAACCTGCCTGTTCGACGCAAACTCTTGACGTCACCCACATCTAACTACAACACCCGCCTCCCGCGCTCTCTGATTGGTCGGATGAAATTCAACCGATTGTAATCACAAACACAGGGACCAGACCCAGACGTTACATGCAGGAAATGATGATTGCATGGGTTAAAGTTGAAAAAATTCCTGAGCCTGAACCATCTATATGAATCATAGAATTAGGGATGTAAATCGGCGACCGGTTAACCGGTCAATGCTGTCGGTTAAAAAAGAGAAAAAGGGGCGAGGGGAGGTTTCTTAATAACGCTATTTTAAGCCCTATTTGCACGATGTGACGAGCGGGTTTGTATCTAGCTGTGTGCGCCCATGTATTATAAACTCCGGGACGACTCTCACGCCACATATGCGCACGCACACACACACACACACACACACACACACACACACACACACACACACACACACACACACACACACACACACACACACACACACACACACCATCTCTCCCCTCTGTTACCGTCAAAGCACACTGGCGCGGGTCAGAACTACATTGGAGCTTACATTTACACACACACACATATACATACACACACACATACACACATACACACACACACATATACATACACACACACTTACATACACACACATACATACACACACACATACACACACACATACCGGTCTGTCGCGCTCCTCTGTGTCACGGAGCCCAAAGGATTCGCGCAAATACGCGGCTCCAGTCAAACCACATGGAACATGTTTGTGTTTATGGTCCTCGGGATCAGCTCCACACACATCACTTGTATTTAAACTTTTGTGAAGACCTGTGAGACGCGTCACTCGCTGCTCTGACCATGTGAACGAGCCGTCGTTTGCTGCTAGAAAGTTTTGGTAATAACCCGCAGCACAGAAGAATGGGAAGATTAAAACAGCAGTTCTCTGTGCGCGGTAAGGTGCCGGAGCTGTTACGGGTTTGGGCGCCGCTGTCTCGGCTCTGATCCAGTAGAACGCAGAGCTGCACTTATGAAAAGTACGCGGCTCGAAATGGCTGTTATTTCAAAGAACGTGGACTATTTTAAACTACGCGGTTAACCGGTTTCAACCGGTTAATGAGGCTCGGTGGTCGGTCATGAAAATTCATAGTTTTTTACATCCCTACATAGAATGATCACTAATAAGCGTTTTTTATAAGCGCCTTTATACGCTCATACATATAATTTATATCTATTTAATGCCAACAACTGATGTTTATTATAAACATCAGTTGTTGGCAATAAATACATCATCCAGGGGTTAAAGCAAAAAAAAAAGATTTGACTGAAAATTTTCTCATGGAAATATAATGAATTACAGATCAAACGAATTCTTCAAAGATATACATTTAAACTGGTGTATTTTGATGTGAAATTACAACCAGTGGATCAAGCAACTTGTCAACTTCTTGACAGAATATTAGTGAGAGTAGTTCATCTGCATCATTGGCTTTACTTGAGGCGAGATGAGGCGTTGTCCTTTGGCTCTGTCCTCGTCAAAATATCGCAAAAGGACATTCAAAATTCTGTCCACATTTGTTTGTGGACACTCGATGTTTAAGAAAAAGGTTTCCCTATCAACTTGGTGCTAGTGCACAGCGCAGTTTTATCAACTGCAAATGATTAATGATAATTAAATCTACCAGCGGTAGTGATGGTTCTGAACGACAGGTTATTTTCTGCGATAAAGCCACAGATAGTTTTAGGTCACAGACACAGTCCACCAGAGCAAGCCTAGTCTCAGTTGTCGCTGAATCTGATGCACCAGGTAAAGAAGTGTGGGAAAGTGCACGGACAGCTGCCAAGTGCGCAGTTTTGAGCTGGTGGTGAATCCAAAGCTGTTTTCTCATTACTCCCATATAAAAAAATAATAATAGCGAAGTACGAACAAGCACCGGACACCTTCATCTTTTTGCACCAGGAAGCAACAGAATCCCATCGTCTCCACCTCATCCAGCCATGCCCACCTCCATTTATTTTTCACTCCGTTATCAACAGCAACTTATACTGCTCCTTCTTCCATAAACAACGATCCATGATTGTGATTGTGCGTGAATGCTAGGCTAGCTTTGATGAATGAATATAAGACCTGCTAACACACACCTTTCTTCAGCGAGTTTCTTCCGTTCGCTCTCGTTGATTGGCTCTTTTTATCACGCAGTTTTGCATGGGGATCGCCAAGATATTATCAAAAGCTCACCAAGACATGCTTGTCCCCATTCCCAGTCACAGCAAAGTACATATTGTACATTCCGTTAAATAAAAAAGCATTGCGTTTGGTAAACGTTAATTATGTCCTACCTTTCCTCTGATAACGCGCCTAGCTTACCGGTCCGCGGGCTGCTGGCTGTTATTGCTCCGTTCGGGATTACATTTTCCTTGTCCTCTTCTCCTTTTCAAAAGCTCCGTGCACTTTTCAGAAACTTTCACCTCCGTGTTACCATCGCTAACTTGGCTACGTCCCATTGCCTTGAATCATTTACGGAGCGCTCATGTAGCTAGCCACGGCACGTTCAAGGCCCACTCGTTACTTTTTATTTCTATATACATATAAATACAATTATATTCAAATTATTAATATATATCTAGATATATACAACAGATTCACACGTATTACTATATATTTTGTTATAATTAACCATTTCATTGTGTGTATTATATTATTATTATATATTTTGTTTTTTTTTCAGACCAATTTCATTTGACGGAAATCCGTCACTTAGACGGAACTCTTTAATCCCTGCGCTATACACATGCAATCCTTTCATACAATTGGTAGAACACACTTGAACCTTTTTTCAAATGACAGCAATCATTATTTATTTATATATATATATTAAAAAAAAAAAAAAAAAAAAAAGTGATGTTTTTTTTTTTTTTTTCTCACGCCGGATTTCCGGCACGGTGCCGGAAAACTTTAAGCCCTGTGATTGAGCGGAGAGTACGGATGGATAAGGCCAGGCTACAAACCTGGAAGAAAATAAGACTGTTGTCTCTGTGACCTTTATCATGGTCTGTACATGAACTGAAGCAAAAACTGAGAAGGACCTTGTTAAAGTCAAATCTCTCTCATCTGGTTGTGTCTGAAGTGAAGAGTACCATGTATCCAGTGACAGGGGCCTCTGGGGGAGCGATCCTCAGGCCTTTGCTCAGGATCCCCACCCAGTTGGTGAGACGAGAGCCGTGCCACAGCAGTGTCCTGGACCAGAGACAAGAGTCATTCAACAAATCCACACAACGTGACATTCATGAGAAAACCGAGGTCTCTAGTTTATCGCAGAATTACGTGTTAAAAAATAATAACTTAAGTGAAATCTCAGAAGCAGCTTTAAGGCACAGACTCTTTATACACTTTTCTAACCCTGACCTGAAGTCAAGACTGCTGAAGTGAGAGAGACCAGAGAGAGATCAGAGAGAGAGAGACCAGAGAGACTAGAGAGAGAGACCAGAGAGAGACCAGAGAGAGACCAGAGAGAGAGAGACCAGAGAGACTAGAGAGAGAGACCAGAGAGAGAGAGACCAGAGAGACCAGAGAGAGATCAGAGAGAGACTAGAGAGACCAGAGAGAGATCAGAGAGAGACTAGAGAGACCAGAGAGAGAGAGGGAAGAGAGAAAGAGGGAATAGGAACCAGAGAGAGACCAGAGAGAGACCAGAGAGACCAGAGAGAGGGAAGAGAGAGAGAGGGAATAGGAACCAGAGAGAGACCAGAGAGCGAGAGACCAGAGAGAGACTAGAAAGACTAGAGAGAGACCAGAGAGAGACCAGAGAGAGACCAGAGAGAGACCAGAGAGAGACCAGAGAGAGACCAGAGAGAGACCAGAGAGAGACCAGGGAGAGACCAAGGAGAGACCAAGGAGAGACCAAGGAGAGACCCGAGAGAGACCAGAGAGCAAGACCAGAATAAGAGAGGGAAGAGGAAGAGAGACCAGAGAGAAAAATGTATTCTATCTTTAGATAAAGCTGGATAACTGTTATAATCGCTGTTATTTGAGGATATATATGATGAGGTAGGATTATACACACGAGTCATTTTTCTTAAGATTAGAACAAAAAAGTATTGAGACTGAAATTAACAATTATTTTGATGAGATGAATGTTCAGATCCCGAAGGCTCCGTGAATCTGGGGTTTGTATCTTGTTATGAACCTGTTGTGCAGATCTTTGAGGAAGTGTTGGCTCTCTGCTGCTCGGTCCACAGCGAATATGTCCAGGACGGTCATGGTGTAGTCTCCGTGTGTGGAGGCGTGCGTGGTCTGCAGGTATCGCTCAATAACCTACAGACACAAGTGGGAATTATATAAACGTACCTATATGGAACTTCAAGCTTAGAGGAGAAACATTCTAGAAAATCGAAAATTCTGGCCTTCACCACCTCCAGACTCTACTACTGCAGCCCCTGTGGTCTCCCTTCCACCCAAAAACTGCAATATCTCCAGAATTCTGCCGCCTGCTCCAGAGACCACATCACTCCTGCCCTCAAACTGCAAATGGCAAATAAATGAATCTGAAAACTCCTCCACTGGCTCCCTGTTCCATACCGTATCTAATATAAGGTCCTCCCTCATTACCCCCAAGACCCTTCATAACCTGGACCCCTAATATCTCACCCCTTCAGTCCTGCCGACTCCAACCTCCTCACTCCCATCAGAACAAAGTGGCGACAAAACCTGAGGACCGAGCCTTCGGAACTCTACCTATTCATATCTACAATTAATTGAGTTTCCATATGTCCTTTCGTAAAGTGCCTTTGAATGTCCAGAAAAGCGCTATAAAAGTAAAATTTATTATTATTATTCCTCATCAGACAAAGACCTGGGGTAGTTTCAGGGACTATGTGATGTCATAGCGGTACAATGACCTCATACCATTACAGGACTGACACAGGACCCTGAAAAGCTCCTGATATTAGCATGGATGGATCTAAAAACCACTCCAGGGCTGGAACAATGCTGTAACATGGATACAATACGTCTCCTTTAAAACATTTCCCTTGTGGTGAGAGCTGTGGCCCTAAACAGAAGCAGGTCCAGTCTGGAGGTCCGTCTCTGACCTGGTACTCGTGCGCAGAGGCCTCCAGCGGCTGCAGACCACAGTCCAGACTCTTGTACTGTTGGTCCAGAATGTGCTCATCTCCACCCGAACTGGACTGAACCATCTTCACCGCGATCTGGATGTCGCTCAGAGCCTGGAACAGAAGGACTTTTTCACAATGGAAAGACTACGCCCTGAGATATGGCTAAAATAATCTATATCGTAATGAACCAGCTGGGACTCTAAGGGGGAGCACAGGGACTGGCCTCCTGCTGGGACTCTGAGGAGGAGCACAGGGACTGGCCTCCTGCTGGGACTCTGAGGAGGAGCACAGGGACTGGCCTCCTGCTGGGACTCTGAGGAGGAGCACAGGGACTGGCCTCCTGCTGGGACTCTGAGGAGGAGCACAGGGACTGGCCTCCTGCTGGGACTCTGAGGAGGAGCACAGGGACTGGCCTCCTGCTGGGACTCTAAGGGGGAGCACAGGGACTGGCCTCCTGCTGGTCCCAGAGTCAGGACTCAACATGAGGAGGCAGAGTTTCAGATATATGCAGCTAATTTCTGGAGCAGTCTTCCTGAAAGTTGTGAGACAGGCTGTTTAGCTGAGCAGACAACTGAAGGATTGTATCTTCACTATTATTAATGTTTATTCACATGTATCTAATTTTATCTTTATATTAAAGCCATGTGATTGGTTCTTTGTGGTTTTGCTCAAGAATAATTATTTAACTTTAGACTAGTTTAATACTTGAAACTTGTGAAAATGCCAATAAACTAAATGTTTTATATCATGTTTTTATATTTAAATCTGTAAATTACGCCACAACTGAACTCCAGAGAATTTGATTTTTAGTGACAGGTCCATTTTTGGTGCTTTTATCTTACATTTATTGAAGATAATTGAACATAAAGTATATAGTGCATCTAACATTCAGGAGGAGTACATCAAGGAAGACATTTAAGAAACTAAGGATTGGTTCTGATCACTGCGTCTTTAAGAACTATAAGAACACCCAGAATGACCAAAACAAACCCAGTCATGTGACTGGGTTTGTTTTGGTCATTCTGGGTGTTCTTATAGTATCACCTTATAGTATCACCTCTAAAAGTTTAATCTTCTCCTTCAGCTCCTCCTCTGTGCGGATAATGGGAGGAGTCTTCAACCTGAAAGTAAACATTGTTCTCAGATACCTGCTAAAATACATGACAAACATGAACTGGTCTGGAGGATGGTGTGTTTCTGACCCAAAGTCGTGAGGGATGCGGGTGTAGAACTGGTTACAGGCCTCCAGCAGATCTCGACTGCCTCCCTTCCTTTTCAGACAGTCCTCGATCTTCTTCAGAGCAGCGTATCCGGCTCTGATCTGCTCCGTGGTCAGTTTACCTGCAAACATTTTACATTTCATTTGAATGGGGAAGATTTTGTTTAGGCAAAGCCGTCGGACAGGAGAGGTCTGTATGTATACCGAGACAGAGGTGTGTATGTATACCGAGACAGAGGTGTGTATGTATACCGAGACAGAGGTGTGTATGTATACCGAGACAGAGGTGTGTATGTATACCGAGACAGGTGTGTATGTATACCGAGACAGAGGTGTGTATGTATACCGAGACAGAGGTGTGTATGTATACCGAGACAGAGGTGTGTATGTATACCGAGACAGAGGTGTGTATGTATACCGAGACAGAGGTGTGTATGTATACCGAGACAGAGGTGTGTATGTATACCGAGACAGAGGTGTGTATGTATACCGAGACAGAGGTGTGTATGTATACCGAGACAGAGGTGTGTATGTATACCGAGACAGAGGTGTGTATGTATACTGAGACAGAGGTGTGTATGTATACTGAGACAGAGGTGTGTATGTATACTGAGACAGAGGTGTGTATGTATACTGAGACAGAGGTGTGTATGTATACTGAGACAGAGGTGTGTATGTATACTGAGACAGAGGTGTGTATGTATACTGAGACAGAGGTCTGTATACTGAGACAAAGGTGTGTACAGTACCTTGCGAAAGTATTCGGCCCCCTTGAACCTTTCGCCACATTTCAGGCTTCAAACAAAAAGATATAAAAAATATTTTTTTTGTCAAGAATCAACAACAAGTGGGACACAATCGTGAAGTGGAACAAAATTTATTGGATAATTTAAACTTTTTTAACAAATAAAAAACTGAAAAGTGGGGCGTGCAATATTATTTGGCCCCCTTGCGCTAATACTTTGTAGCGCCACCTTTTGCTGCAATTACAGCTGCAAGTCGCTTGGGGTATGTCTCTATCAGTTTTGCACATCGAGAGACTGGAATTCTTGCCCATTCTTCCTTGCAAAACAGCTGGAGCTCAGTGAGGTTGGATGGAGAGAGTTGGTGAACAGCAGTCTTCAGCTCTTTCCACAGATTCTGGATTGGATTCAGGTCTGGACTTTGACTTGACCATTCTAACACCTGCATACGTCTATTTGTGAACCATTCCATTGTAGATTTGGCTTTATGTTTTGGATCATTGTCCTGTTGGAAGATAAATCTCCGTCCCAGTCTCAGGTCTTTTGCAGACTCCAACAGGTTTTCTTCCAGAATGGTCCTGTATTTGGCTCCATCCATCTTCCCATCAATTTTAGCTATCTTCCCTGTCCCTGCTGAAGAAAAGCAGGCTCAAAGCATGATGCTGCCACCACCATGTTTGACAGTGGGGATGGTGTGTTCAGGGTGATGAGCTGTGTTGCTTTTACGCCAAACATATCGTTTTGCATTGTGGCCAAAAAGTTCCATTTTGGTTTCATCTGACCAGAGCACCTTCTTCCACATGTTTGGTGTGTCTCCCAGGTGGCTTGTGGCAAACTTTAAACAATACTTTTTATGGATATCTTTGAGAAATGGCTTTCTTCTTGCCACTCTTCCATAAAGTCCAGATTTGTGCAGTGCACGACTGATTGTTGTCCTATGGACAGACTCTCCCACCTCAGCTGTAGTTATCTGCAGTTCATCCAGAGTGATCATGGGCCTCTTGGCTGCATCTCTGATCAGTCTTCTCCTTGTTTGAGATGAAAGTTTGGAGGGACGGCCGGGTCTTGGTAGATTTGCAGTGGTCTGATACTCCTTCCATTTCATTATAATTGCTTGCACAGTGCTCCTTGAGATGTTTAAAGCTTGGGAAATCTTTTTGTATCCAAATCCGGCTTTAAACTTCTCCACAACAGTATCTCGGACCTGCCTGGTGTGTTTCTTTGTCTTCATGGTTCTCTCTGCGCTTTAAACAGAACCCTGAGACTATCAAAGAGCAGGTACATTTATACGGAGACTTGATTACACACAGGTGCATTCTATTTATCATCATCAGTCATTTAGGACAACATTGGATCATTCAAAGATCCTCACTGAACTTCTGGACTGAGTTTGCTGCACTGAAAGTAAAGGGGCCGAATAATATTGCACGCCCCACTTTTCAGTTTTTTATTTGTTAAAAAAGTTTAAATTATCCAATACATTTTGTTCCACTTCACGATTGTGTCCCACTTGTTGTTGATTCATGACAAAAAATTAAAATTTTATATCTTGTTTGAAGCCTGAAAGGGGGCCGAATACTTTCACAAGGCACTGTATGTATACTGAGACAGAGGAGTGTATACTGAGACAGAGGAGTGTATACTGAGACAGAGGTGTGTATACTGAGACAGAGGTGTGTATACTGAGACAGAGGTGTGTATACTGAGACAGAGGTGTGTATACTGAGACAGAGGTATGTATACTGAGAGACTGACCCAGAGGTGCCTTGCGAGTGTCAAACTTCATCTCCAGGACACACTCCTCCATGGCCTTCAGGTCACAGATCAGCTCCAGCAGAGACTGGACTTTAGGATCCAACGTGGACGGCTTCTTCACCACAGCAGCAGCAGCGGGCTCTGGTTTAGGCTCCTCCTTCACAAAAGAGTAAAGTCAAAAGGACAAAATATAGCATGAAAACTATTTCAAAATTAGAGAAAGTAAAATCAAGAGACATCCTCTCAGTAGCAGCAGCTTTATGTTTTAAGGCTGCAAAACCCCTCACACTTTATACACTTTTCTAACCATCTGAACTCACCAAAAGATGAAGAGAGAGACAAGAGATAGGCCAGAGAGAGAGAGAGACCAGAGAGAGAGAGAGACCAGAGAGAGAGAGAGGCCACAGAGAGAGAGAGGCCACAGAGAGAGACCAGAGAGAGGCTAGAGAGAGAGGCCAGAGAGACCAGAGAGAGAGAGGCCAGAGAGAGAGAGAGAGACCAGAGAGACAGACCAGAGAGAGAGGCCAGAGAGAGAGGCCAGAGAGAGAGAGAGACAGAGGCCACAGAGAGAGAGACCAGAGAGAGAGGCCAGAGAGAGGCTAGAGAGAGAGACAGGCCCAGAAAGAGAGAGAGAGACCAGAGAGACAGACCAGAGAGAGAGGCCAGAGACAGAGGCCACAGAGAGAGAGACCAGAGAGAGAGGCCAGAGAGAGGCCAGAGAGGCCAGAGAGAGAGAGACCAGAGAGAGAGAGGCCAGAGAGAGAGGCCAGAGAGAGAGGCCAGAGAGAGAGGCCAGAGAGAGAGACCACAGAGAGAGGCCACAGAGAGAGGCCAGAGAGAGAGGCCAGAGAGAGAGAGACCAGAGAGAGAGAGAGACCAGAGAGAGAGAGAGAGACCAGAGAGAGAGAGAGACCAGAGAGAGAGAGAGACCAGAGAGAGAGAGAGACCAGAGAGAGAGAGACCAGAGAGAGAGACCAGAGAGAGAGAGACCACATAGAGAGAGGCCAGAGAGAGAGGCCAGAGAGAGAGAGACCACATAGAGAGAGGCCAGAGAGAGGCCAGAGAGAGAGAGAGAGAGAGAGAGGCCACAGAGAGAGAGACCAGAGAGAGAGGCCAGAGAGAGGCTAGAGAGGCCAGAGAGAGACCAGAGAGAGAGAGGCCAGAGAGAGAGACCAGAGAGAGAGGCCAGAGAGAGAGACCTGAGAGAGAGAGACCACATAGAGAGAGGCCAGAGAGAGAGGCCAGAGAGAAAGAGAGGCCAGAGAGAGGCCAGAGAGAGAGACCAGAGAGAGAGAGGCCAGAGAGAGAGGCCACAGAGAGAGACCAGAGAGAGAGAGGCCACATAGAGACACCAGAGAGAGAGAGACCAGAGAGAGAGAGAGACCAGAGAGAGAGAGAGACCAGAGAGAGAGAGAGACCAGAGAGAGAGAGACCAGAGAGAGAGACCAGAGAGAGAGAGACCACATAGAGAGAGGCCAGAGAGAGAGGCCAGAGAGAGAGAGACCACATAGAGAGAGGCCAGAGAGAGAGGCCAGAGAGAGAGAGAGAGAGAGAGAGGCCACAGAGAGAGAGACCAGAGAGAGAGGCCAGAGAGAGGCTAGAGAGGCCAGAGAGAGACCAGAGAGAGAGAGGCCAGAGAGAGAGACCAGAGAGAGAGGCCAGAGAGAGAGACCTGAGAGAGAGAGACCACATAGAGAGAGGCCAGAGAGAGAGGCCAGAGAGAGGCCAGAGAGAGAGGCCACATAGAGACACCAGAGAGAGAGAGACCACATAGAGAGAGGCCAGAGAGAGAGACCAGAGAGAGAGAGGCCAGAGAGAGAGACCAGAGAGAGAGAGCCAGAGAGAGAGAGGCCAGAGAGAGAGAGGCCAGAGAGAGAGAGGCCAGAGAGAGAGAGGCCAGAGAGAGAGGCCAGAGAGAGAGGCCAGAGAGAGAGACCAGAGAGAGAGACCAGAGAGAGAGACCAGAGAGAGAGACCAGAGAGAGAGACCAGAGAGAGAGGCCAGAGAGAGAGACCAGAGAGAGAGACCAGAGAGAGAGACCAGAGAGAGGCCACAGAGAGAGACCAGAGAGAGAGACCAGAGAGAGGCCACAGAGAGAGAGGCCAGAGAGAGAGGCCAGAGAGAGAGGCCAGAGAGAGAGAGGCCAGAGAGAGAGACCAGAGAGAGAGACCAGAGAGAGAGGCCAGAGAGAGAGGCCAGAGAGAGAGACCAGAGAGAGAGACCAGAGAGAGAGACCAGAGAGAGAGACCAGAGAGAGAGACCAGAGAGAGAGGCCAGAGAGAGAGGCCAGAGAGAGAGACCAGAGAGAGAGACCAGAGAGAGAGAGACCAGAGAGAGAGACCAGAGAGAGAGGCCAGAGAGAGACCAGAGAGAGGCCACAGAGAGAGACCAGAGAGAGAGAGAGACAACAGCTTGACAGGTTGTGTGTCTTACTTTGTAGTTGGCGCTGTAGTCCACAAACAAAAGGTCATATTTCCCGGGCTCTTTCTCAAAATACTCTCTGTTCTCCCAATCGTTATCGGTCTTATCCTCAAATCTACAAAGAAAACACGCCAGAAAATACCATTTCAACGATTATTTCAACTCTTCAATTAAAAAAAAGGCAAAAAACACATCCATAATTTTGTTCTCACTTTTTCATGAAAATCTTTTTAGCTTTGGGCAGGTCTCCGCCGCAGGCCACGAGGCTGTTTTGACCAACTTTTCCAACTAAAATACAGAAAAAAACAAATACATAAAAGGTTTTCAGTCTAAACTTTTTAATAAGAGCGCCACTTTATTTAACCAGACTTGTCCAAGAGTAGACCACATGGATTTGAAACCATTTTGACTGGACTTGGATGGTTCTGGACTTTAAAATGGAGGATGATACGGCGTCCATTTTGATCCATATTTAGGAAACACCTTCAAAACAGACTTTATCTCATTTTCAACCCCTTTATTTGTCCATTTCTGGGTCGGGGGGAGACACTGAGAGCTGCACCCACTGCTCACAGCACCAGTCCCTCTGATCCTCTGCAGGGGGTGGGTCCACAGGAAGATGGCTGCTACAATATCATATACATATTATACTGTAAATGTGTACATATTCACAGACATGTATAATCCCGAGTACCTACATCCAGATTATTGTATTCTTACATTAGTATCTTATTATTATTATTTTCATTGTTATTTTTTGTGGAATACTAAGCAAGCTACTGTGACAACGCAATTTCCCTGTGGATCAAGATAAAAACATAAGAGACACAATAAAAAACAAATGTGAATATATTATTTAAAGAACGTTAGAGACTGGATTCCAAAGGTTCTGAGCTTTACAAAGAGATATAACATGACTGTATTGATGGTTGGGCTGGCTTTATGTTAGCAAAACAGAGGGCCACAGAAAACCACCCTATGGGCCGCATGGAGCCCGCGGGCCTGAGCTTGGACCTTACCTCGACCCCATCTCATCCACACGCTGTAAGACTTCGAGTTGTCGTCCTCCAACAGTTGAATCAGATAATATTTGTTGTTGTTGAATTGGAGATTTGTCTAAACAATAAACACGATTCAGTCTCAGTTACGGCTTAAATAGCATCGTAACCAGGTAAATAAAAGGACTTTGAGGTCAAATCATCAAAAATAAATCATTAAAAAAAGACAAATCATGCAAAATGACAGTAAAAAAGCTAAGAAACAGAAGAAAGACCTGATTTAACATGACATCGTACACATCTTCTCCTTCAGAGTAGACGTGAGCCTGTGCAGATGAACAAAACATTATTATAAAACGTTACGACTTGTATCAACTGTGATGTAGGGCTGGGCAATAAAACGATAACGATATATATCACGATAGACACGTGTTCGATATCAGTAGAAAACAGGGTGGATAGAATGTTCGATAATTTAACTTCACTCAGAAAAAAACAGGAAGTAAAGCCGAGTCAGAAGCACACGGCATTCTGGGGGATGTAGGCAGAGGCTTCTCGACCCATCACAGCCGATCATGGACAGCAAAACATTCTGGGAAATGCAAAAACAACAACCGCACTGTCCATGGGTCTACAGATTGTTTTTCAATGTTTTTCAATGGTTCTGTACGTCCGTTCCAGGAGCAGCATGTGCGGCGCAGTAGAGCCAGTGGACAAAGAGACCCAATGCATTCGGCGAAAGCAAGAGATGAACCTTTTCCTCTGTACGGCTATCGGAGAGCTGCACGGAGCCGTCATGGGGGCACAATACACTCGAAAACAGCCTAAACGGGAGCTAAACCAGGACTAGACCCGGACTAAACCAGGACTAAACCAGGACTAACAATGGGGGACACTAGCTGCGTTTCCATTGAATAATGCGCAAAAACTTTTTTGATACATTTCAAAATTCGAAAAACCTGTAATTCGCAAAAGCGGCCGTTTCCATTAAGACATATTCGAATAAGTATACACTATTTTCGCGCGTTTATTCACTAGTTTCTAGTACGTCAACATGGCAACAGAAGTAAACAACACTTTGATTTACGTGAGATATATTAATGTCTTGACTTCTGCTGCGGCTCTCATCCTCTCTGACCTCTGACCCCGGGAGAAACTGTGGCTGCTTTGACAGCTCCGCAAACGCCGTGGTCATGTACCGAGCGCGGACCATAGACGCGCGCACAGAACCATAGACACGGGTCTTGCCCGTCTCCCCCGTCTCTCCCCCATTCCTCTCCCCCGTCTCTCCCCCATGCCTCTCCCCCGTCTCTCCCCCGTCTCTCCCCCATTCCTCTCCCCCGTCTCTCCCCCATTCCTCTCCCCCGTCTCTCCCCCATTCCTCTCCCCCGTCTCTCCCCATGCCTCTCCCCCGTCTCTCCCCCATGCCTCTTCCCCGTCTCTCCCCCGTCTCTCCCTCATGCCTCTCCCCCGTCTCTCCCTCATGCCTCTCCCCCGTCTCTCCCCCATTCCTCTCCCCCGTCTCTCCCCATGCCTCTCCCCCGTCTCTCCCCCATGCCTCTTCCCCGTCTCTCCCCCGTCTCTCCCTCATGCCTCTCCCCCGTCTCTCCCCCATGCCTCTCCCCCGTCTCTACCCCGTCTCTCCCCCGTCTCTCCCCCGTCTCTCCCTCATGCCTCTCCCACGTATCTCCCAAGTCTCCACACAAAGCGCAGCCAAAACTCACTGAATAAAGCAGCTCGGCTTCCTCCGCTATATCGAAATAAGTGTTTCCATTGCCGCCGTTTTGCAAAAAACTTAATTTCGATACGTCCAAAAAACCACCGAGTTTAAGCGCATTAACTTTTTATTGAAAAACTGGTTTATTCGAAATTTGCGCGTTTCCATTAGACATTTTATGATGCGCAAATTCAAATTTCAAAATTTGATGCTCAATGGAAACGCAGCTACTGTGTGAACATATTCCTCCAGCCTCATTCCCCTGTGAGACTCTAAACAAGACTGCTAACGTGTGTAAAGCTGACACGGCAAATGTATTTATTCAGGTTGAAAAAAATAATTTAAAAAAATCAATATATACTGTTATCGACCGATATGAATTACTTCTATTGTGATATAGTTTTCAGCCCTACCTCCCAGCCCTACTGCGATGATTTCAGAATGTACCTTTCCGAGTTTGGCTTTACACTCTGGGTCGACCGGAGCCTTTCCCTTCATCACCACCGTCTTCACCGTTTCAACTTCAGTTACTACAGAATAAAATAAGATAACTCATGATTATTTTGAGCATTGGTTTGTTGTTTACTTGGATAGTGTCATTTTCCATCAAATCTACTCTGTTATGGTGGATAGATAGCTATGGCCTATACGCAGGTGGACAAACAGAACACAAAATATCTGGCCCTCACAGTCACAGGGTCCCATTGTGTATCTGTGTTATGACTCTGATTTGTTCTGTTGTCTCTGGATGCGACACGTATGTCTTTCTATGTGTGACGTATCTGGGACGAATGACTATATAAACCATGTACTGACTTTGTTCTGTCTGAAAAACCTGAAACCTAATAAACTTCTTGGAAAGCTCTGGTGCGCAAAGTTCCCGTCTCTGCGAGGTTGATGTTCCACACTAGATTACTGTATACTTTCCATAACAGTAATCGATCGGTTGTCAAAGTGAACCAGGACTTGGACTTGGTCATGTGACTGGTCCCCTCCTGGTCTTTACCTTCAGCCTTGACTTCTTCTTTGGGAGCAGCTTTAGTTTTGGTTTGGCTCTTGCTCTGTCCTCTGCGTTTCTTTGGTGCTGGAGGTTTTTCCGTTTCTTCTTCTTCTTCTTGTTTAACTTCTGTGTTTTGGTCGTTTGTCGCCGCGACTCTGTTTTCAGGTTCAGCATTTGTGGTTTCTGGAGGTTCAAACATACACACAGTAAATGATTTGAGTCATGTCTCGTCGGACAACACTGTACTTCCAGAAAACTGATCAATTCTTTAGGTTAATTGTGGTTTCAGTCTGTACACTGGCATAGAATCTTCTGCACCTGTCTTCATCGCCTGTGAGCGGATCTTCCTCTTGTATTTCGTGACAGGGTTGATCTGAAACATCTTCTTCAGGTCGATGTGGTATTCGTGTCCGGACTCCAGGCTCAGAGTGAAGGAGGCGTTTCCTGCAGCCACGGCCGAGTCCAGGTCTCTGCAGGCGGCCTCTGGGTACGGCTCCCACTGGTCCTGGTCCCCCTTCCACTGCCACACTGACAGAGACACAACACACTTACTATAACTAACAGAAAAAAGTGGATGAAGCAATGATTGAAATAGACCCACTGTCAAATCCTGCATCAGATTATTGTCATTGGCACTAGATCCAATATTATTATTATTATGAGTGATAGACGAGACATGCATGACAACAAGCAGTTAACTATAGTATTTCTAAATGAGACAACTTTCCATTCAATTCAGTACAAATACCTCACAGATTACAAACATTGCAGTAAACAAAAAATAATAAATTCATTTTTGTCTCGTTCATAACATGTCCAAACTTGTCCCATTCACGCACGCGACTTGGTTAGCATTTCCTGCTTTAGCTAGCGCTACAAACAAACCTGTTTTAGAATCTCCGTCTCCATTTTGTGGCACACTAATCTGGCTTTTATTCTTCATACTTCTTGTTGTTCGCCTCATATCGAACTAGAATAAACAGTTTAGGGAGAAATTGGTTCAATGAAGAGATGGAGAGAAAGTTTCCCATTGTCTAATGTTTTGGCGCCGGGTGAAGATCGTGTGTGGAGCATGTGTGTCACTCCGTTAAATATCCAGAAGACAGTTATAAGTGAATAAACACTAACATTACGTTTCAAAAATATGTTTATACAACTGTGTGGTGACAATTTAAAGATTATTTGGTTTAATAACGTGAGACATGAATGTAACTTTATATTTATTATTTTGGCAACAGAGAGCGCTGTTTTCTTGCATAGATCGTTAAACGTGCGGAACTACTGACTCCTCCCGCTGTTGTTTTCACACGGACTTATTTTGTTGAAGGACACATAGTGGGAAATGTGCAATGGAAATGTGCCCCCTTGTCAAACTGATATGAATATGATTTAAAGACTCTTCTACGTTGAGAAAACAGTACAAAACTAAATTAAAAATGGCTTTACGGAGCGTTAACGCGTGTAGCTTCTGCCGCAGAGTTTTGATGGTGAAGACAGCGGTGCGGGTGAGAAGGAGCGGTCTAGAACTAGCATCTGAGGTCAATGACGAATGTATCCTCACGTTGTTACTTCTTTGTATAACCATCAAAACAGACAAGACATGCATGAAATAGGGACTCCTCCAACAATAAGTGCTGTGTTGCTGTGTGCAAAAAAACTAGTGTACATTGACAATTTTAACACTGTGAAACAAGAACGTAACTATAGTATTTCCAAGAAAATTAATACAATTTGTAATATGCCTTAACATGGGAATAATAATAGCAACATATACACTACGTATTGTTTTTTTCATGCATTATTTGAGATATTTTTTGCTCCATGGAGTTATGGGGATGGTGTTTCACTTCTAGATATCTTATGAAAAGATTAGATGAGAGTTCAGACAGGACAGTAGTAAGAGCACACAAAATATACAAACAAGTAATAGCTATATTACTTAACTATCTGTAAATTCTTCAATACCAGTCTTTCAAAATAATAAAAAAAAATATATATAGTAGTTATATACTGTAAGTGAAGACCTTATGCGTTGGTTTTAGTTGCTGTAACAATAGACTAATATTCCTCCATTCTTGTGTCCAGGGAATGAGCACAGCTGCCAAACTTCAACCTCTGAGCAATTTTCTGAACGGAGAACCTCACAGAAAACACCCGGGAGTCACAAATATGAAAACTCTGCGTTTACCGGAACAGCTGCAGGCGGCCGCTCGCTCCATCATTCACAGTGAGTGGAAGTAAATATTGAAAACATGCGAGACAGGAGGACATACAGGTCAACCATTTTGTTTTTTCAGTGCAGATATGACACTGATAATGTGTAGTCGACTGTAGTGGACCTAAGAAAATGTTGGTGGAGTAACAGATGTGCCAATCGACTAGTTACCTGAAAGGAGGCAAATTCTATAAACAGTATGACGCGTTTAAGGAGAATGGAAATGATCTTTTTCTCAAAACGTCGAACAACATTAAACAGTCTCTATCTCGCGCTGTATACATTGTGTTTTAAAATGGAGACTTATCCATGAAAGTTGCTGTGAACGTGATCACCTGTTTCTTTCCTTTGCTCTTGGTATGTATTATTATGCCTTTCCTTCGCACTGATCAGAGTCTTCCTGAACTCCATACAACCAGACAAACTTAACCATACAACTGAATTTTAAGGCTGAACAAGTTGGATTGTTGCCTGGGGAGGACAGCGTCTCTCTGCTCTCTCGGGCACTGGTCGATGCTAATGTTATGGCTATTTAAAAAACAATCGTTCTGAAGAAAATGACAAAAAGATGCAGAGGTCTGGGATCATGTCACAACAAAATACATTTTATTGTTGGTGTAAAGACACAACCAGAGTATCGCATCGTGCACACGGCTTTGTAGAAGACAAAAACATAGACATATATTTGATTTTTGATTTGATTTTTATTCAGGGAAAGCCCTATCCATATAATACAATACAAACAATTCACATTTAACACACACAGGTTTGCTCCCTCAGATCCCACTCCACCCCCACTACAATAATACTTTATTCAGAAAACATATACATAATTTCTGTATACAATAAACACATAGTTACAGCAGCAGGTCAAATAATGCACCTTAAAATATACGTACAAGTATTTTAAAAATATAGATAGAAGGATAAATGTTAGCTTTGACCTTCACATAATTGCATCTAAAGTGTGATAAAAGTTCATTACAGATTTATATCAATATTGCCTTGACATCGGTGCCTATAGTCGGTCGATCCATACTCAATATTTCAGAGTTGACAGATTCTTTCTTTCATTCTACCGTTGACCGCAGGAGCTCAGATAAAGAGTCTGGATAAAAAGGCTCAGAATCTGGTGAACTTCATCTGGAGCCGGAAGAGGAAGATGGAGGACGGCGTTCTGAGGCAGAAGGCGCTGGAGCTGGAGAAGGAGGAGTGGAGCAAAGCCACAGAGAAGCATCCTGGTGAGAGACCAATACCGCCTTAAATACTGTCAAATGTGATTATGTTAAATATTGAACCTGTTTCTCTGTAGATGTTGACGAACAGCTTTTAGAAGAGCGCGTCCAGAAAAAAGTGCTGTCGGAGCTGAGGAGAACCACGTACCACTGGAGACAACTCAAGTTAGACTCACGTTTTTATTCTTCTCCCAAAGTGTCACTGCCTCACTCTCTCTCAGACCTCTCTCTCAGACCTCTCTCTCAGACCTCTCTCTCAGACCTCTCTCAGACCTCTCTCAGACCTCTCTCAGACCTCTCTCTCAGACCTCTCTCAGACCTCTCTCAGACCTCTCTCAGACCTCTCTCAGACCTCTCTCAGACCTCTCTCAGACCTCTCTCAGACCTCTCTCAGACCTCTCTCTCAGACCTCTCTCTCAGACCTCTCTCAGACCTCTCTCTCAGACCTCTCTCAGACCTCTCTCAGACCTCTCTCAGACCTCTCTCTCAGACCTCTCTCTCAGACCTCTCTCTCAGACCTCTCTCTCAGACCTCTCTCTCAGACCTCTCTCAGACCTCTCTCAGACCTCTCTCTCAGACCTCTCTCTCAGACCTCTCTCTCTCAGACCTCTCTCTCAGACCTCTCAGACCTCTCTCAGACCTCTCTCTCAGACCTCTCTCTCAGACCTCTCTCTCAGACCTCTCTCTCAGACCTCTCTCTCAGACCTCTCTCAGACCTCTCTCAGACCTCTCTCAGACCTCTCTCAGACCTCTCTCAGACCTCTCTTAGACCTCTCTTAGACCTCTCTCTCAGACCTCTCCCTCAGACCTCTCTCAGACCTCTCTCAGACCTCTCTCAGACCTCTCTCAGACCTCTCTCTCTCTCAGACCTCTCTCTCAGACCTCTCTCTCAGACCTCTCTCAGACCTCTCTCTCAGACCTCTCTCAGACCTCTCTCTCAGACCTCTCTCTCAGACCTCTCTAAGACCTCTCTCTCAGACCTCTCTCTCTCTCAGACCTCTCTCAGACCTCTCTCTCTCTCAGACCTCTCTCTCAGACCTCTCTCTCAGACCTCTCTCTCAGACCTCTCTCTCAGACCTCTCTCAGACCTCTCTCAGACCTCTTAGACCTCTCTTAGACCTCTCTCTCTCAGACCTCTCTCAGACCTCTCTCAGACCTCTCTCAGACCTCTCTCAGACCTCTCTCAGACCTCTCTCAGACCTCTCTCAGACCTCTCTCTCTCAGACCTCTCTCAGACCTCTCTCTCAGACCTCTCTCAGACCTCTCTCTCAGACCTCTCTCTCAGACCTCTCTAAGACCTCTCTCTCACCTCTCTCTCTCTCAGACCTCTCTCAGACCTCTCTCTCTCTCAGACCTCTCTCTCAGACCTCTCTCTCAGACCTCTCTCTCAGACCTCTCTCTCAGACCTCTCTCTCAGACCTCTCTCTCAGACCTCTCTCTCAGACCTCTCTAGACCTCTCTCTCAGACCTCTCTCAGAGACCTCTCTCTCAGACCTCTCTCTCAGACCTCTCTCTCAGACCTCTCAGACCTCTCAGACCTCTCTCAGACCTCTCTCTCAGACCTCTCTCTCAGACCTCTCTCTCAGACCTCTCTCTCAGACCTCTCTCTCAGACCTCTCTCTCAGACCTCTCTCTCAGACCTCTCTCAGACCTCTCTCTCAGACCTCTCTCTCAGACCTCTCTCTCAGACCTCTCTCAGACCTCTCTCTCAGACCTCTCTCTCAGACCTCTCAGACCTCTCAGACCTCTCTCAGACCTCTCTCTCTCTCTCAGACCTCTCTCAGACCTCTCTCTCTCAACCTCTCTCTCAGACCTCTCTCTCAGACCTCTCTCTCAGACCTCTCTCTCAGACCTCTCTCAGACCTCTCTCTCAGACCTCTCTCCAGACCTCTCTCTCAGACCTCTCTCTCAGACCTCTCTCTAGACCTCTCTCTCAGACCTCTCTCTCAGACCTCTCTCTCAGACCTCTCTCTCAGACCTCTCTCTCAGACCTCTCTCTCAGACCTCTCTCTCAGACCTCTCTCTCAGACCTCTCTCTCAGACCTCTCTCTCAGACCTCTCTCTCAGACCTCTCTCTCAGACCTCTCTCTCAGACCTCTCTCTCAGACCTCTCTCAGACCTCTCTCTCAGACCTCTCTCAGACCTCTCTCAGACCTCTCTCTCAGACTTCTCTCTCAGACCTCTCTCTCAGACCTCTCTCTCTCAGACCTCTCTCTCAGACCTCTCTCGAACCTCTCTCTCAGACCTCTCTCTCAGACTTCTCTCTCAGACCTCTCTCTCAGACCTCTCTAAGACCTCTCTCTCAGACCTCTCTCAGAGACCTCTCTCTCAGACCTCTCTCTCAGACCTCTCTCTCAGACCTCTCAGACCTCTCAGACCTCTCTCTCAGACCTCTCCCTCAGACTTCTCTCTCAGACCTCTCTCTCAGACCTCTCTCTCAGACCTCTCTCTCAGACCTCTCTCTCAGACCTCTCTCTCAGACCTCTCTAAGACCTCTCTCTCAGACCTCTCTCAGACCTCTCTCTCAGACCTCTCTCTCTCAGACCTCTCTCTCAGACCTCTCAGACCTCTCTCAGACCTCTCTCTCAGACCTCTCTCAGACCTCTCTCTCAGACCTCTCTCTCAGACCTCTCTCTCAGACCTCTCTCTCAGACCTCTCTCTCAGACCTCTCTAAGACCTCTCTCTCAGACCTCTCTCAGACCTCTCTCTCAGACCTCTCTCTCAGACCTCTCTCAGACCTCTCTCAGACCTCTCTCTCAGACCTCTCTAGACCTCTCTCAGACCTCTCTCAGACCTCTCTCAGACCTCTCTCAGACCTCTCTCAGACCTCTCTCAGACCTCTCTCAGACCTCTCTCAGACCTCTCTCAGACCTCTCTCAGACCTCTCTCTCTCAGACCTCTCTCTCAGACCTCTCTCTCAGACCTCTCTCTCAGACCTCTCTCAGACCTCTCTCAGACCTCTCTCTCAGACCTCTCTCTCAGACCTCTCTCTCAGACCTCTCTCTCAGACCTCTCTCAGACCTCTCAGACCTCTCTCTCAGACCTCTCCCTCAGACTTCTCTCTCAGACCTCTCTCTCAGACCTCTCTCTCAGACCTCTCTCTCAGACCTCTCTAAGACCTCTCTCTCAGACCTCTCTCAGACCTCTCTCTCAGACCTCTCTCTCAGACCTCTCTCAGACCTCTCTCAGACCTCTCTCTCAGACCTCTCTCAGACCTCTCTCAGACCTCTCTCAGACCTCTCTCAGACCTCTCTCAGACCTCTCTCAGACCTCTCTCAGACCTCTCAGACCTCTCAGACCTCTCTAGACCTCTCAGACCTCTCAGACCTCTCTCTCAGACCTCTCCCTCAGACCTCTCTCAGACCTCTCTCAGACCTCTCAGACTCTTACTGTTGCAGGTTCGATGAGGAGATGGGGGTGGTCTACATGACGGCTCGTTTGGCCGGAGGCTACGCTGCAGTGAGACGAGCTCTGAACGAGGTTTGTTCTGTTTATCTGTGGTTACAGCCGAACCCACAGCCCTTTCATACTTACATACTGTACATACATATACTTACATACATACACACACATACATACCGTGTTCAAATTGGGTTTCATTGTCTTTGTTGAACTAAAATATTGTGTTTTCTTTCAGATAAAGAAGAGAGACGACTCCTTCGCTCCTGAGTCTCTCCTGGACTTTGGTTCTGGTCTGGGGACAGTGGCCTGGTCCGTCGCACCTTCTCACACTCGTTTCTTTCCCTGTTTTCTGAGTTTAAGAGTTTCATTAAAGGCTGGTGCTCTCCTTCAGGGCGTCACACTCAGTTTGGCCGGAGTCTTTGAAGGAGATGGTTTGTGTGGACAGCTCCAGCTCCATGAACGCTTTAGCAGAACGCCTTCTCAGAGGTCATAGCTCCACACACAGACACTACACACTCCGTACTTGTTAACTTTCTCCATTCAAATCACAAATGTCATTCCCCACCACTACCACAAGAGGGCAGTGTTGTATTAATCTAGATATGTCTCCAACCTTTTTCAATCGTAGAGCTACTTTTACCTTTTTGCAGTCGTAGTCCAAAATCTATCCAATAATTAAGACAAGAGAGAACACATATAAATATACTATAATTCTGTATAATCTTATATTTTTGGCGTACAGTAGATATGTGATGACTCAAAATGTATTCATTCAGGATCATGTGTTAAGTTAATTCTAAATCCTTTGGGGAGCTTCCTGAAAGGGGCTCCCGAGCTCTAGGTTGGAGACCCCTGATCTCGTTACACATGTTTGTTCATAACATTTCTACTTCAAGTGTAAAATCTCTAGTTCATGTTTGACGCTGAATATTGTGTTTGTGTAAAAACAGGCGACGATGAAAACGGAGAGCCACACTTCAAACACGTGTATTTCAGACAGTTCCTCCCTGTGTCTCCAAAAGTAAGTGACCCTAAAGTAAAGTACTATAGACACACCAAGTACTCACCAAGTACACACCAAGTACACACCAAGTACACACCAAGTACACACCAAGTACACGCCAAGTACACGCCAAGTACACACCAAGTACACACCAAGTACACACCAAGTACACACCAAGTACACACCAAGTACACGCCAAGTACACACCAAGTACACGCCAAGTACACGCCAAGTACACACCAAGTACACACCAAGTACACACCAAGTACACACCAAGTACACACCAAGTACACGCCAAGTACACGCCAAGTACACGCCAAGTACACGCCAAGTACACACCAAGTACACACCAAGTACACACCAAGTACACACCAAGTACACGCCAAGTACACGCCAAGTACACGCCAAGTACACGCCAAGTACACGCCAAGTACACACCAAGTACACGCCAAGTACACGCCAAGTACACGCCAAGTACACGCCAAGTACACGCCAAGTACACACCAAGTACACACCAAGTACACACCAAGTACACACAGTAGACGTTAAAGTGCAGTAAAGTGAAAAGACACTGATCTTATGGCGAAAGGTTCTGGACATTATTTTGAAACTTAACTTTGTATAAATGCTGAGAAAAGTTGTGTAGTTGTTGTTCTCTGGTAAAGTTGTTTGTTGTGTGTTGTGTGTCTCCAGGTTCAGTTTGACTTGGTGTCCGCCGCCTTCACTCTCTCAGAACTTCCCAAAGCCGCAGACCGAGAGGACGTCCTGTTTACTCTGTGGAGGAAGACCAGCAAGTACCTGGTGAGTTCTACAGCAAACCATATGGTTTTGACGTCAACCACGACTGGAGAGCGCTTGGTTTGAAATGAGTTTATTATTTTCAAACCTGCACAACACATTCATTCATTCTTTTTCTGATCCATTTCTGGGTCAGGGGGGTGACAATCTAGCCTGGCTCTGCCAGACCCTTGTAGTTCCGCCATGCTCCACCAGAGGCGTTTGGCTGAACCACATGGGTCTGGTATCGAGCCCATAGCGAACGCCTTCCCCAGATTATTTTTTAATCGACCAATCAGGATTGCCGGTGTTACGTGGGGTTTGCACTGCCTCCTCAAGCTTCTCTCATGCAGCAGCGAGAGGAATCCAAGATGGCGGACGTAAAGTCCGCAAATCTTTTTAAAAGAGTAAATACAATCAAATTAAGACACGGATGTCACTTTTAATGCAATTAGAGGCGATATGTTGATGGTTCTATGTTGATATATGTGTGTTTTAAGAGTCAAATGTTCCTGTAAAGTTCGGTTGAAGCACTGGTTCAGTGTTCCTGTTTACACACTATGCAGCAGGGTTGCCAGGTTTGGTGGTTCCCGCATATTTTTTTCCAAGAGACTTGTAGGTATTAAATAAACAGAAAGACAATAAACAGAATCATGATAGCCCAAGTTGATTACTTTTTTTTTTTTGTGGGTATTCGCGGATTTTGGGTTGGAAAATCTTGCTGGGATTTGGCAACCTATGGGAGCCGTGTGCTTCGATGTGAGTGGTTGAAAGCAGACTTCATTCAAGATAACGGACAAGTGGTCTATCCAATCACATACAAGGCCCTGACTTCAGAAACACTATGGCTCAGTACCAGACTCATGTGCAGCGAACTACATGGGTCTGGCCAGAGTCAGGCTAGGACTACATGGGTCTGGCCAGAGTCAGGCTAGGACTACATGGGTCTGGCCAGAGTCAGGCTAGGACTACATGGGTCTGGCCAGAGTCAGGCTAGGACTACATGGGTCTGGCCAGAGTCAGGCTACTGACAATCAGAGCTGCACCTGATTCACAAAGCACCAGTCCCTCTGATCCTCCGGCTGCTCCTTCAACACAGATACGGCCTTGGTCTTTTCTAGCGGGGGCTTCAGGCAAAGTAGGGTTAAGTGTCTTGCCCAGGGACACAATGACAGCAGACATCAGTGAGAGCAGATGACATGGGTCCAAAGACCAGTGCTTTATGTTCTCAGTGACCCACACAGGCTCTGTTTTTATTAGCAGCACTTCTGTATTTGCCGAAGTCGCAAAGAACCGGTGTTAGCTGCTAACCGGCTACAATCTTGTATTTCCAGTCTAAAAATAGTCGCTCTATAAGAACTCTATAAACATGAACCGTGTGTGAGGTAATCGCTCTGTTTAAGTTATGAGAGCAGCTACAGTGACAGACTGATGCACCCTCGCTGTGTGAAGGAGAGGTTCTGCAGGTCTTTTTTAAAACGTACTGGAAATCATGAATCACAATCCCAACGTTGGTCAGAAATCTCACAATTCCATATTTTCCAAACGCGTTCAGAGTTTTCAGTGCTGCTGTTTTAGTGCATGTTGTTTTATTTGTCGGGAATGAATAGTTAAAGGGGACGTGCGTGTTTGTGCAGGTGCTGGTGGAGAACGGGACCAAAGAAGGACATCAGATCCTGATGGAGGCCAGAGACGCTTTACTGAACGTGGGTCTCTGACTCTGACAACACCTCTGTTTACTCAGAGACAGAGAGACGCAGACAGAGAGACGCAGACAGAGAGACAGAGAGACGCAGACAGAGAGACGCAGACAGAGAGACGCAGACAGAGAGACGCAGACAGAGAGACGCAGACAGAGAGACGCAGACAGAGACGCAGACAGAGAGACACAGACAGAGAGACGCAGACAGAGAGACGCAGACAGAGAGACAGATAGACGCAGACAGAGACGCAGACAGAGAGACAGATAGACGCAGACAGAGACGCAGACAGAGAGACGCAGACAGAGAGACGCAGACAGAGACGCAGACAGAGAGACGCAGACAGAGAGACGCAGACAGAGACGCAGACAGAGAGACAGATAGACGCAGACAGAGACGCAGACAGAGAGACGCAGACAGAGAGACGCAGACAGAGAGACGCAGACAGAGAGACAGAGAGACGCAGACAGAGACGCAGACAGAGAGACGCAGACAGAGAGACGCAGACAGAGAGACGCAGACAGAGACGCAGACAGAGAGACGCAGACAGAGAGACGCAGACAGAGAGACGCAGACAGAGAGACGCAGACAGAGAGACACAGACAGAGAGACGCAGACAGAGAGACGCAGACAGAGAGACAGATAGACGCAGACAGAGAGACAGATAGACGCAGACAGAGACGCAGACAGAGAGACGCAGACAGAGAGACGCAGACAGAGACGCAGACAGAGAGACGCAGACAGAGAGACGCAGACAGAGACGCAGACAGAGAGACGCAGACAGAGAGACAGATAGACGCAGACAGAGACGCAGACAGAGAGACGCAGACAGAGAGACGCAGACAGAGAGACGCAGACAGAGAGACGCAGACAGAGAGACGCAGACAGAGAGACAGAGAGACGCAGACAGAGACGCAGACAGAGACGCAGACAGAGACGCAGACAGAGACGCAGACAGAGACGCAGACAGAGACGCAGACAGAGACGCAGACAGAGACGCAGACAGAGACGCAGACAGAGACGCAGACAGAGACGCAGACAGAGAGACGCAGACAGAGAGACGCAGACAGAGAGACAGAGAGACGCAGACAGAGACGCAGACAGAGAGACGCAGACAGAGACGCAGACAGAGACGCAGACAGACGCAGACAGAGAGACGCAGACAGAGACGCAGACAGAGAGACAGATAGACGCAGACAGAGACGCAGACAGAGAGACGCAGACAGAGAGACGCAGACAGAGAGACGCAGACAGAGAGACAGAGAGACGCAGACAGAGAGACGCAGACAGAGAGACGCAGACAGAGAGACGCAGACAGAGAGACGCAGACAGAGAGACGCAGACAGAGAGACGCAGACAGAGAGACGCAGACAGAGAGACGCAGACAGAGAGACTCAGACAGACAGATAGACTCAGATAGACAGAGAGACAGATAGACTCAGACAGATAGACTCAGACAGACAGAGAGACAGATAGACTCAGACAGACAGACAGACAGAGAGACAGATAGACTCAGACAGACAGACAGAGAGACTCAGACAGATAGACACAGACAGACAGATAGACTCAGATAGACAGAGAGACAGATAGACTCAGACAGATAGACTCAGATAGACAGAGAGACAGATAGACTCAGACAGATAGACTCAGACAGACAGAGAGACAGATAGACTCAGACAGACAGACAGACAGAGAGACAGATAGACTCAGACAGACAGACAGAGAGACTCAGACAGATAGACTCAGACAGATAGACACAGACAGACAGAGAGACAGATAGACTCAGACAGAGAGACAGATAGACTCAGACAGACAGACAGAGAGAGAGACAGATAGACTCAGACAGACAGACAGAGAGACTCAGACAGATAGACTCAGACAGATAGACACAGACAGACAGAGAGACAGATAGACTCAGACAGAGAGACAGATAGACTCAGACAGACAGACAGAGAGAGAGACACAAACAAACAGCAGCAGAGGTTGTACATAGGATTTTTTATTTATTATTTATGTCATTTTTGTGGTTTTTCCAGAAACAAGAGCAGATCGTCTTCGACCCCAGACCTGCTTCAACCTTTGCTCCTGTGAGTTTTCATCACATGTAGTTCAGCCCTCACTCATTAACTGCTAATTACTGTAGGATTTATGGTTAATTAGCTCTTAATTACTCCTTATTCTACATGGCCTTATTCAACGTCTAACTACCTACTACGGTCAGTGCTTGTGCCTCACAGCGAGAAGGTCCTGGGTTCGATTCCACCTCCAGGCCTTTCTGAGTGAAGTTTGCCGGTTGTCTGTGTGTGGAGGGAGATATCGATTATTCTTTTTCTCTCAGAGCTGGATACAGATGTGATCAGAATAGTTTGTTTTCAAAGAATAAAAATGTAAAATATGAACTAAAATAAACAGATATGAATCTATAAAGTGGATTGAAAGAGAATGACACATGTTTTAAAGCAGAGGGACATTTTAGTATTTTTCAGGTGAAAGTTTTTGTGTTCAATAATGCAATACTCTGGTTTTCCTCCAGTACTTTATGATATTTATGTTTATTTTCGTTCCAGTGTCCTCATGACCTGATGTGTCCCAAAATGTCTCAAAAACCTCTGGTCCCGTGTAACTTCCAACAGAGATACCACACGCTGTCTTTGCCGGGGGTAAGACCACAACAGACACATTAATGTTGTTTAATTCATGAATATTTACAAAATAATAAGAAACTATAGAAAAGATTAAATCAACTTTTTACAATGTATTTTATTGTGTTTCAGCAAATGGCTCATCTGACGGAGAAGTTCAGTTATGTGATTCTAGCCCGAGCTGAAGCCAAAGACCCGGAGCCAGGTCCAGGTCTGGGTCATGGTCCAGGTCCGGGTCCGGGTCCAGGTCCGGGTCCAGGTCCAGAGTGGGCGCGGCTCATTGCTCCGGTTCAGTCTCGGACTCGTCACGTTCACTGCAGAATGTGCTGCTCAGACGGACAGCTGCAGCATGTGGTGGTGACGGCCAGACTACATGGGAGGTGAGGAGGAGGGAGGAGAAGGAGGAGGGAGGGAGGGGGGAGAGATGTGTGAGGAGGGGGAGGAGAAGGAGGAGGGAGGGAGGGGGGAGAGCTGTGTGAGGAGGAGGGAGGAGAAGGAGGAGGGAGGGAGGGGGGAGAGATGTGTGAGGAGGGGGAGGAGAAGGAGGAGGGAGGGAGGGGGGAGAGCTGTGTGAGGAGGGGGAGGAGAAGGAGGAGGGAGGGAGGGGGGAGAGCTGTGTGAGGAGGAGAGAGGGAAGAGGAGGTGAGCTCTAGAACCATATAATTTATTAAATGATAAACCTCTAATGTAATGAATACATCACTGGACCTCCGTCTGTAAGAACAGCCTTTACTTTAGTCCAGCTTTGGTTCAGGACCGTTTGACTTTTATCATTGACAGATTTTGATGTGTTTTCTCTCAGGGATGTTTACAGATGTGCACGCAGCAGTGACTGGGGAGACCAGGTCCCTCTGATCCAAGGGACCATGGACCAAGACCAAGAGAGCCACGGCCACTCTGAAGACCTGGGTCACTCTGAAGACCTGGATCACTCTGATCCAAGAGAGCCACGGTCACTCTGAAGACCTGGGTCACTCTGAAGACCAGGGTCACTCTGAAGACCTGGGTCACTCTGAAGACCTGGGCCACTCTGATCCAAGAGAGCCACGGTCACTCTGAAGACCTGGGTCACTCTGAAGACCTGGGCCACTCTGATCCAAGAGAGCCACGGTCACTCTGAAGACCTGGGTCACTCTGAAGACCTGGGCCACTCTGAAGACCTGGGCCACTCTGAAGACCTGGGCCACTCTGAAGACCTGGGCCACTCTGATCCAAGAGAGCCACAGTCACTCTGAAGACCTGGGTCACTCTGAAGACCAGGGTCACTCTGAAGACCTGGGTCACTCTGAAGACCTGGATCACTCTGATCCAAGAGAGCCACGGTCACTCTGAAGACCTGGGTCACTCTGAAGACCTGGGCCACTCTGATCCAAGAGAGCCACGGTCACTCTGAAGACCTGGGTCACTCTGAAGACCTGGGCCACTCTGAAGACCTGGGCCACTCTGATCCAAGAGAGCCACAGTCACTCTGAAGACCTGGGTCACTCTGAAGACCAGGGTCACTCTGAAGACCTGGGTCACTCTGAAGACCTGGACCTCTCTGAAGCCCAGGGTCACTCTGAAGACCAGGGTCACTCTGAAGACCTGAGTCACTATGAAGACCCGGGTCACTCTGGAAAAAGAGAGCCAGGGTCACTCTGAAGACCAGTGACCTATGGAGGGACTGTGGACTTTTCTGAGAATCCATTCTCACTGTTTTACTAAAACTGTCCAGAGATGTTACATGGAAATAAAGACGTCTAAACTCTATAATACATCTGGATTATTACTCTCTTTAATATCAATTAATAATAATAATAATAATAATAATGCTGAATTGGTTTTATAAAGCGCATTTCTGGAGACACTTCACACTATCCTCTCTCTCCAAACACAGTGGTGATAAACTACTGTAGCCACAGCTGCCCTGGGGCACACTGACAGGAGCGAGGCCCCTCCCACCACCACCAACCATTCACACACACACCAGACTCATTCTAATGTGGGGGAAGTGTCTTGCCTAAGGACACAACCACAGTTTGGCACTTTACAGCCGCCCCACTGTGGCACCTGCTGTTCCCAGAGGTCTCCCATCACAGCACTAGCCAAGCCCTGCCCTGCTTAGCTTCAGAGATCACATGGATGCGCATATCTGTTACATGCATTTAATTCAATTTACTGTTGCTTTAATAATCACCACAGTCTGAACATGTATTTTTATTCTCCATCACTGCATGAACTCAGTTGATAATATTTACAACAATATTCCACCATAAATATATTTACTGTACCGTACTTTCCGGACTATAAACCGCTACTTTTTACTAGTTCTTTGATCCTGCAGCTAATATAGCAATGCAGCTAATGTGTGTATTTTTCTAATGTGGTGGAGTTTATGGACTAATTATTTAGAAATTTTAGTAGGTGCAACACTTATTTATTGTCGAAACAATTATGGAAGCTAACAGTGAATGAGTCATGGAAGCTAACGATGAATGAGTCATGGAAGCTAACGGTGAATGAGTCATGGAAGCTAACGGTGAATGAGTCATGGAAGCTAACAGTGAATGAGTCATGGAAGCTAACGGTGAATGAGTCATGGAAGCTAACAGTGAATGAGTCATGGAAGCTAACAGTGAATGAGTCATGGAAGCTAACAGTGAATGAGTCATGGAAGCTAACAGTGAATGAGTCATGGAAGCTAACGGTGAATGAGTCATGGAAGCTAACGGTGAATGAGTCATGGAAGCTAACAGTGAATGAGTCATGGAAGCTAACGGTGAATGAGTCATGGAAGCTAACAGTGAATGAGTCATGGAAGCTAACAGTGAATGAGTCATGGAAGCTAACAGTGAAGCTAGTAAACACCTTGTCCTTAAATCCTGTTGTGTCCAGTGAAAACACGTCTTTCTACAATACATCATGAAAACTTGAGGCTTATATTCAGGCGCGTCTTATGTGGACAACTTTGATTTTATTTATTTTTTATTAACATGGTGCTCCCTATAGTCCAGAAAGTACAGTGTGTATATAACCAATTGACGACCAAAACACAAAATGGCCGCCAACAGATGCAGTCCTCCATCACTCACACAGTCGTTATCCCACTATCTCCTTCAGCGCCGAGCTCAGGTCCGGGTACTGGTACTGGTACCCGGCCTCCAGAGTCCGTTTAGGAATGACCTTCTGGCCCTGGGTCATGACCACGGCGCGCTCTGCTCCCAGCGTGGCGTTCATGACGAAGGCGGGGACCGGGAACAGCGTTGGTCTCCGCAGGACTCTCCCGAACTCTTTGGTGAAGTCGTGGTTGGTGTTGAGGGCCGGGGCCACGCCGTTGTACACCTGAGGGGAGGGGGAGGAGGAAGTGGGCGGAGCTTCTGGGGGAGACTCCAGGAAGTGGGCGATCATCCCGGCCAGATCCGCCACATGTATCCATGGGAACGGCTGGCGACCCGAGCCCAGAGTCCCGCCCACGCCGAGCCAGAAGGGAAGCCACATCTGTTTGATGGCACCACCGTCACGACCCAGAACGGCACCTGCAGAGGAAGGAGGAGAGAGGCACTTATAACCTGCACCAAGACTGAGACTAACCAGGATCAGGACTAACCAGGATCAGGACTAACCAGGACCAGGACTAACCAGGACCGAGACTAACCAGGACCAGGACTAACCAGGACCGAGACTAACCAGGACCGAGACTAAGCAGGACCTCGACTAACCAGGACCTCGACTAACCAGGACAGAGACTAACCAGGACCAGGACAGAGACTAACCAGGACCAGGACAGAGACTAACCAGGACCGAGACTAACCAGGACCGAGACTAACCAGGACCGAGACTAACCAGGACCGAGACTAACCAGGACCGAGACTAACCAGGACCGAGACTAACCAGGACCTCGACTAACCAGGACCTCGACTAACCAGGACCTCGACTAACCAGGACCTCGACTAACCAGGACCAGGACAGAGACTAACCAGGACCAGGACAGAGACTAACCAGGACCGAGACTAACCAGGACCGAGACTAACCAGGACCGAGACTAACCAGGACCGAGACTAACCAGGACCTCGACTAACCAGGACCTCGACTAACCAGGACCTCGACTAACCAGGACCAGGACAGAGACTAACCAGGACCAGGACAGAGACTAACCAGGACCAGGACTAACCAGGACCGAGACTAACCAGGACCGAGACTAACCAGGACCAAGACTAACCAGGACCGCGACCAACCAGGACCGCGACCAACCAGGACCGCGACCAACCAGGACCGCGACCAACCAGGACCGCGACCAACCAGGACCGCGACCAACCAGGACCGCGACCAACCAGGACCGCGACCAACCAGGACCGAGACCAACCAGGACCGAGACTAACCAGGACCGAGACTAACCAGGACCGAGGCTAACCAGGACCGAGTCTAACCAGGACTAGGACTAACCAGGACCAAGACTAACCAGGACCAAGACTAACCAGGGCCGCAACTAACCAGGGCCGCAACTAACCAGGGCCGCAACTAACCAGGACCAGGACTAACCAGGGCCGAGACTAACCAGGGCCGAGACTAACCAGGACCAAGACTAACCAGGACCAAGACTAACCAGGACCAGGACAAACCAGGACCAGGACAAACCAGGACCGAGACTAACCAGGACCGAGACTAACCAGGGCCGAGACTAACCAGGGCCGAGACTAACCAGGGCCGAGACTAACCAGGACCGAGACTAACCAGGACCGAGACTAACTAGGACCGAGACTAACTAGGACCAGGACTAACCAGGACCAGGACTAACCAGGACCAGGACTAACCAGGACCAGGACTAACCAGGACCAGGACTAACCAGGACCAAGACTAACCAGGACCAAGACTAACCAGGACCGCGACTAACCAGGACCGCGACTAACCAGGACCGCGACTAACCAGGACCGCGACTAACCAGGACCAAGACTAACCAGGACCAAGACTAACCAGGACCAAGACTAACCAGGGCCGCGACTAACCAGGGCCGCGACTAACCAGGACCAGGACTAACCAGGACCAGGACTAACCAAGACTAACCAGGACCAGGACTAACCAGGACCGAGACTAACCAGGACCGAGACTAACCAGGACCGAGACTAACCAGGACCAGGACTAACCAGGACCAGGACTAACCAGGACCAGGACTAACCAGGACCAGGACTAACCAGGACCAGGACTAACCAGGACCAGGACTAACCAGGACTAACCAGGACTAACCAGGACCAGGACTAACCAGGACCAGGACTAACCAGGACCAGGACTAACCAGGACCAGGACTAACCAGGACCAGGACTAACCAGGACCAGGACTAACCAGGACCAGGACTAACCAGGACCAGGACTAACCAGGACCAGGACTAACCAGGACCAAGACTAACCAGGACCAAGACTAACCAGGACCAAGACTAACCAGGGCCAGGACTAACCAGGACCAGGACTAACCAGGACCGAGACTAATCAGGACCAGGACCGAGACTATCCAGGACCGAGACTAACCAGGACCGAGACTAACCAGGGCCAACCTGTGAAATGGCCAAAACTTTTTAATGAGCAATACTTTTGTTTTAAAAGTACCACTATACTATGGTGGTACAATGACATCATACTGTTACAGGACTGAAGGGGCGGAGCTACATATCTGTGCCTGATGTTAGCATGGATGGAACCAAAAACAAAAATCCAGGAACAATGTAGCAACAATTTGAGCTCAAAATGGATTTCACATGTCTACATAAAAGCAGTAGTATTTGGACTTCTCTCACCGGGCCGGATCACCACCTGCCTGGTGGTCTGGACCAGGCTCTCCGGGAGCTGGGCCGCTGCCTCCCACTCCTGCACCAGTCTGGATAGAAGGTCAAAGGGCGTCCAGGGACTGTCCTCTGTGTACTGCTGTGTGAGGCTGGGCTGGTAACAGGCTGGGGACACAATCACAGTCAGGTTATCTAAAAAACAATCTATATTTGTGTTTACTTTGACCTGAAGACTCGTATTGCCTTTCCCAACCCATCCATCCATCCATTCTCTTTCGCTTCATCCGTTGCCGGGTCGCGGGGGCAGCAGTCTAAGCAGAGACGCCCAGACTTCCCTCTCCACACACACTTCCTCCAGCTCATCCCAACCGTTTTGTGAAAATAAAATGTTGTGAATAAACCAGACATTGTGAGGGAAAAGTGTTATAATTAAAATTAGAATCTTTTAACATTTATGGACATTGGTCATTTGTCTCTTATGTGTTTGTTATTATTGTATTTCCTGTGTTCAATTCTGATGATTTGCTAAAGCCTCAAAAGGCGTTTGTTTTTATTCTAAAGGCAGGTTTTAATTCCAACCAAAGGCCCTTTCTAGAACCAGGCCAAAAAGACTGCTGTTGTGATTTAGAGCAATAAAAACATTAAAATAAATGTAATGTTACGTACCTACTCCGGACACTAGGACCCAGGAGCGCGGCGGACTGGAGGCGGCTGCGATGGCGCTGGACAGAGCTTTGGTCGTGTCGATCCGACTGGAAAACAAGTCCTTCTTATAACTTTCATTCCACCTGAAAAACACAGAAGGTTCTTTAGACACGTCCGGGAACAAGTCACATGATCTGCAGCCGAGACAAAACCGAACTACTCTAAATAAAATCAGCCAAAATACATTGTTTTTTCCACTGCTCTTGTCCTGCTTTGTGACTTTGTAAACGTAACTCTACTGAGACAGGGCCAGCAGAAGTATCCAAGAGCACAGGGAAGAGCGGATACTAGAAATGTATGTGTTTGATGAAGTACAGCCTCTGCAGGTTTCATTGTTTTGGTTTAGCTACACAAGACAAAAGGTGCTAATACAGTAGATATGATAGGAACAGCTTTAAAGTTAGAGTCCTGAAGCAAAGGTACAGGACGTCGTTGAAAGGGCTCATGCGATGATCCTAGAGACGGTTTTTAATGTAGTTTGTATATTTAAGCTTTGTAAAATGTACTGATTTTTTCATGATACAACATTGTCCTTAAATAGTGGTGGAATAATCAATAATTTCTCATTTTTTGTAATGTCTTTGATTAAAATGAGTGACATGAATCTTATTTTATGTATTTATTTATTTGACAGGGACATTGCGAGTCAATATAGAACAAAACAAGCTTCTAACGGATGCAAAAAGAAGTTTAAAGCTATTGTTCAACTCAACTACATTCACATTTTCATTATTATCTTAAAACCGTATCTTTATACAATGTTTAAATCAATTACACACAATCGCAATATATCACAGAATCGAATACTTTCTGAATCACAGTAATATTGAATTGTGGTCCAAATATCGCAATAATATAGAAGGTCACAGTTATGCTTGTTCCTACCACTACTTTGAAGACATGAAAAAACCAGTGGGGGCAGTGGGGTCTCGCGCCAGGACTGTGGGGGTGTACCCAGAAAGAGAATTATTCAATGCTTATGTATGGCATCTTGTTTCCTCTCAAAAACGTCTTCACAGGAAGGTCCAAAAGTGGGTCTCGGTCCAAAAGTGGGTCTCCTCGGTCCAAAAGTGGGTCTCCTCGGTCCAAAAGTGGGTCTCCTCGGTCCAAAAGTGGGTCTCCTCGGTCCAAAAGTGGCTCTCGGTCCAAAAGTGGGTCTCGGTCCAAAAGTGGGTCTCGGTCCAAAAGTGGGTCTCGGTCCAAAAGTGGGTCTCGGTCCAAAAGTGGGTCTCGGTCCAAAAGTGGGTCTCGGTCCAAAAGTGGGTCTCGGTCCAAAAGTGGGTCTCGGTCCTAAAGTGGGTCTCGGTCCTAAAGTGGCTCTCGGTCCTAAAGTGGCTCTCGGTCCTAAAGTGGCTCTCGGTCCAAAAGTGGCTCTCGGTCCTAAAGTGGCTCTCGGTCCTAAAGTGGCTCTCGGTCCTAAAGTGGCTCTCGGTCCTAAAGTGGCTCTCGGTCCTAAAGTGGCTCTCGGTCCAAAAGTGGCTCTCTGTCCAAAAGTGGCTCTCTGTCCAAAAGTGGCTCTCGGTCCAAAAGTGGGTCTCGGTCCAAAAGTGGGTCTCGGTCCAAAAGTGGGTCTCGGTCCAAAAGTGGGTCTCGGTCCAAAAGTGGGTCTCGGTCCAAAAGTGGGTCTCGGTCCAAAAGTGGGTCTCGGTCCAAAAGTGGGTCTCGGTCCAAAAGTGGGTCTCGGTCCAAAAGTGGGTCTCGGTCCAAAAGTGGGTCTCGGTCCAAAAGTGGGTCTCGGTCCAAAAGTGGGTCTCTCGGGTCCAAAAGTGGGTCTCGGTCCTAAAGTGGCTCTTGATCCTAAAGTGGCTCTTGGTCCAAAAGTGGCTCTCGGTCCAAAAGTGGCTCTCGGTCCAAAAGTGGCTCTCGGTCCAAAAGTGGCTCTCGGTCTAAAAGTGGCTCTTGGTCCAAAAGTGGCTCTCGGTCCAAAAGTGGCTCTCGGTCCAAAAGTGGCTCTCGGTCCAAAAGTGGCTCTTGGTCCAAAAGTGGCTCTTGGTCCAAAAGTGGCTCGCTCTTGGTCCAAAAGTGGCTCTTGGTCCAAAAGTGGCTCTTGGTCCAAAAGTGGCTCTTGGTCCAAAAGTGGCTCTTGGTCCAAAAGTGGCTCTTGGTCCAAAAGTGGCTCGCTCTTGGTCCAAAAGTGGCTCTTGGTCCAAAAGTGGCTCTTGGTCCAAAAGTGGCTCTTGGTCTAAAAGTGGCTCTTGGTCCAAAAGATTCTATAGATTCTATCAATGTTGAGGGGAGTATATTTTTTGGACCAGTCTAGTTTAGCCGCTGTGGACTTTTGAATGCATGATACTAGTGCCGCTAACACATGCACAAATGCGGTTTTTCACATTTTCCTGAGGGAGGGGCTGCCTGCGGCCATTTTGAAAAAGCCCCATAGAAGCCAAAAGTATTGCACATTAGTTTCACAGCGGAGACAGAAGTGACAGCGTGTGTAAATATTTACAGTCTATGGACAAAGCTCAGGGATGTTTTTCACTCCTGCAGTATTTCTCACCATCGCAGTGGATTCATGAGGTTTTCTCCGGCTAAGTTGACCGCCCCATCGCAGGCCGGCAGCCCGCTGGATTCCAACTCGCTCTGCATCCATCCAAACAAAACTGTTCAAACTTAAACTTCATAAACTTTGGTGTAAACGTGGTTCTTACCCATGTGATCTTTCCAGGACCGGGCTGTCGGGAAACAACGGTGACTTCATGACCTTTGGATTTGAGGAGACGAGTCAGCTCCCGGCCCACGAAGCCAGAGCCGCCTCCTGGTCCACAAGTATCAGTGAAAAAGTTGAATTATGATGAAGTTAGTTTAAGTAAAGTTGAATCATGTGAGAGGCCTGTGCTGTGCAGATGGAACAGACACAGTCAAAAGCAAAATGACAGCAGTTATTTGAAAATTAGCAATAAGACATTTCTCCAAAATGGTTCAGTTCCATCGTAAAAACGGAATATAATAAAAAAGTAAAATGATGACAAGGCAAGTTTATTTGTATAGCACACAGGTCATACACAAAGAAACTCAAAGTGTTGAAAAAAAACAAGGTAAACTCAAGAATACATCAATTTCACTTTTGTGTTTTGTTTTTAATTTTAGCTACATGGTACTTTCAATGCAAGAAGGAGCGCTACCGCCGGGGCCTTTATCCCCACTGCTGTCAGACTGTACAATAAGTTACCTTATCTTACATTTTTATCAACTCTATACACAATATTAAATGCGTTTTCAAAACTGTTAATGCCATATGACCAGACTCTGAGGAGCACAGGGACCGGCCTCCTGCTAGGACTCTGAGGAGCACAGGGACCGGCCTCCTGCTGGGACTCTGAGGAGCACAGGGACCGGCCTCCTGCTGGGACTCTGAGGAGCACAGGGACCGGCCTCCTGCTGGGACTCTGAGGAGCACAGGGACCGGCCTCCTGCTGGGACTCTGAGGAGCACAGGGACCGGCCTCCTGCTGGGACTCTGAGGAGCACAGGGACCGGCCTCCTGCTGGGACTCTGAGGAGCACAGGGACCGGCCTCCTGCTGGGACTCTGAGGAGCACAGGGACTGGACTCCTGCTGGGACTCTGAGGAGCACAGGGACCGGCCTCCTGCTGGGACTCTGAGGAGCACAGGGACCGGCCTCCTGCTGGGACTCTGAGGAGCACAGGGACTGGACTCCTGCTGGGACTCTGAGGAGCACAGGGACTGGCCTCCTGCTGGGACTCTGAGGAGCACAGGGACCGGCCTCCTGCTGGGACTCTGAGGAGCACAGGGACCGGCCTCCTGCTGGGACTCAGTACTAACAGTTATAATCTTCACTCTTCCTGAAAATGTGAGACCTTCTTCTTCTCTGACAATGTTCAAATCCAGGTTAAAAACAGGGACTGAAGGACTCTTGAATACTTTTAATGCACTGAGATTATTTATGTGATTTTACTGCTTCTCCTGTTTCCTTCTTCACTTTGAGCTCTCTTCTGCCTGTGTGCCATACAGATAAACCTGCCATGCCCAAAGTTGTGTGTATTTGACCCTAGCTTTGTCTCACGTCACTGCCCTTTGACCTCAGTCTGTGGTGCACGCGCTGCAGGTTCTAACGACAGCCTCCGGTTCAGACTAAACCGGATTTCTCTGGTGTAAAGTGTGTTATGTTTGGATAAAGAGCACGTACCGACTACAACCTTCATGTCCGCGGAGGTTACAGCAGAAGCACCAGGAGCACAGAGAGCGTTTGTGTAATGTTCACTCGTGTTTTGGCCCAACAGGACACCGTAGCCTGAGACGCGCTGTGATTGGTCCGTAACGTGGAAGGAAAAAAAAAAAACGTAAAAATAATCTTACTATAAATACTAAAACATTGTTAATGCTGTTGTATATTTTGAATTATTCATTATACAAGATAAAAGAACATTAATATTTATACATAATTCAAAAAGGAATGGGTTTAAATTGCTTCCAATTTTCATTTAGTTTGACAAATGATTCAATTAAAGTCAGAACATGGACATTTCCCTTGATTTATAATTGACTCGTTAGTCGTTACCATAAAGTCATATTTTAGAGGCACAATAAACACCAGTGATGCTCTAGGGTCCTGTTATCGTTTCTACGTCAATTGTTTTATATCATTGTATAAAACAATCTGATAAATGGTTGTAGTGAATATAGATTCAGACGAAATCATGAAAGCTGCTCAGTCTGGGGCCTGTACAAGTTTATTCAGGGTCTTGGTCTTTTTCCAAATTAAAATTCCAGACTTTAAAACTTTGCCAAGACCATAACTTTGTATACCAACTGTTTTAGAAGTGTTTATAAGCTAGTATACACACCCACTGTTGTTGACGGAGCTAGTGTCTCCCAATATGGATAATACATGGACATGGATTTTCACGTGGATGGCGTGACCATAAAACGATAGAACCGGGAAGCGCGGAGGAATGGGACTTTCTTTTGGATGGCTGTGTCGCTGTGTAAGCAGTAACCGGTGACGAAGACGAGGAAACTTCAGGTTAGCTCTGCCGCTTGTTGTGCTAACTCAGCCGTCTGTGCTAACGGACCTGTAGATTTCTTACGAAAGTGGGGGCCAGTGGTCTGCTGTGATTGGTCACAATCTGCGACCCGAAACACATTCTCTTCCTTGTTTCATCAAAACTTGATCTAAAATATGTCACGCCAGCACAAATCTGCGCTAATTATTCTTCAAAAGGACGTATATCCCAATGCACTACATGGACATGTGCATGAACATGCACAAATTAAAACTTCAAAGACCTCATAACAGTGAGGAAAATGCATTGATCATAGGGACAGACCCGGCAAAATGTCAGATTTTAAAACTTGTGGAACCAACCAGTTCTGAGCTCAGGACGTAATCAGGCGTTGCACCATAAAGTTATTCGTTCAGCACGAACCGTGATAATACATTCTTGTGTCAGTAATAACCAGCTGTGTCCACAAGAGCCCATCCATCCATTGTCTTCCCCTTAATCCATTTCTGGGTCGGGGGGGGGGTGGCCAGAGATGCCAGCCAGTACACCAGCCCCTCACTGATCCTCCTGCAGGTGCTGAGTCCACAGGAGCCGAGATCTTTCAGCGGGAGCTTCAGGCAAAGTGGGGTTAAGTGTCTTGCCCAAGGACAGCAATCAGTGGGAGTCATGAAGTAGGTCTTACGGTGGGCTCAAACCCACAACCTTCAGACTCAAAGGCCAATGCTCTACCAACTGAGCTACTGTCACCCCTCCACAAGAGCCATTTAAGTGAATACATCCAGAGAGCCAAGTTTATTACAGAAAAGTACTTAATAATTTAAAAACAAAAATAAAACACCTTTCAGCCTTTACTTCTCACAAAAAAATGAAGTCTACAAGTTTATTTGCAATCGTTTTTATTATTAAACAAAACAGTTAATATACCTCCTTTTGTGTTCCGCTTTAGGACTGTAGCACCACATCCTGAAAATAAAAACATCGTTTTATATAAACAGTTTTGTTTTATTGGAGGATTTAGACATTTAGTTGAGGATCAGATAAACGCTTCGGTTAATCTTTGTCATTGTGTCCAGCAGAGAATTATCTGCACTGAACACTTCAATTCGGCCTTTTGTTTACATCATCTCCACAACCGAACAAATATTCTTTCAAGCCACTCACCGTTTCATCTGCCCGAGCTAGAGTCATGTAGATAATTCAGCAAGAGACTGGTGCTGAATCCTGAGGGAAAAATCAAAAAGGCAATGTAAAAAAAAACAAGAGCTGGTTTTATAATAAAGAATTAGAGCAGTTTAGTTGAGGATCAGATAAACGCTTCGGTTAATCTTTGTCATAGTGTCCAGCAGAGAATAAACTGCACTGAACACTTCAATTCGGCCTTTTGTTTACATCATCTCCTTAGATTTCTGTAAAAGTACATTCACTCACCGTTTAATAAGGCAAAGCAGAAGTTATACTCTTGTCAGCCACCTGCAAACAAAACCATGTAAGATTGGTAGAACTTTATATTAGACATTTCTAAGGTAATAAACAGCTGCTAGTAATATTTCAATTTCTACAGTATGCCATTGTCTAAAGGGGAGCAGTTAAAACAGTGGTTCTGCGAGTTCCTGCTAGTTTCAGAATTGTGAGAGTCCTGGTGTTAAGACATGTACAGGCCTGCCTTTGTGCAAAAGTATAGTTTACAAATGTTAACTAAATTGAGATTAATAGTCTTACCCTTAGAGTTAATCCAGCGCCAGAAGCAGTTTTTTCCAGAATCACCTGCAGCAAAATAACAAGTCAAAGTGATGCAATGAAACTGGGGAACAATACCAATCTAAATTAGTTTCAGATCAGAATTAACGCTTCAAGGATTTAGTCATATGGTCTGACCCCGAACAGAAGCTCTGGGACAGGACTCAGTCGGCCTTTCGTTTCATCACTTCTACAGAACTACATTTGAGTCCATTAAATAAAAGTGTCCTTACCCATAATCCCTCGTGTAAGCAGCCAATCAGTCTGGGAAAAAAAAAGAATACCATATTAATTAAATGTTTGGATTTGTCCCGTTGTGCAGGAAGGTAAGAATTAAGCCACATATTCAAAACGCAAGAAACGTAACACTGCATTTTATAATTAGATTCATGAACACTGCATTCTCTACAGTAAGAAACCTCGAGTTAGCAAACAAGCTAACGTTAGCTAACTGCGGCGCACGCACATGTTTTATTTTCGTCAAATAAAGCAAAAGACAAGTATTTAAAAAAGCTTCATGAAAACAATTGGCATTTAAAACTTACAACAAGAAGAGTTCTGATACCTGTTCACGGCCGATTTCCTCATCTTTCTATTATGAAGAAGCGCGGAGATAATGGCTCAGTGAGTCTCGCGAGCTCAGATTTAAAAGTTTCATCCACCAATCAGAGCGCGGCATTCTTTTTCCCGGAAGAAAATAGCTCATCTACGCCACCTAGCGACCGGGAGTGAAAGTAAGATAATTCAATCAAAATCTATTTATTTCTGTCAAGTCCTAAATCACATAGATACATAGAGCCATTGATCCATAAGGGGCAGGTGACCAATGTCCGTAAATGATAATAGATTTCCATAACTAGTAGGATAAGAGAACATTTAATCGCCGCACAATATTTATTCATAATTAGGACATTTCAGTTTTGTTCCTTGCCATTTTAAACCATAGATCTATAACATTCAAATCATACACTGAAAAATATATTATTATTATTAAAATACGTAACCCGGAAGTGTTATCGATAGCGGATGAGGAGGACGCACGTGGTTTGGTTCCTCACATAAATAGCTCTGGTCGCGGTTCTTCCTCCTCTGTCTTTGTTGCGGTGAAACAGTGCGGTCTGTGAAGGTCTGCGGGAGCAGGACAAACACGTGGTGCGTATGAAGACACTGTTATTATCATAGTTTAGGTCTGGACTTTGAATTATAGACTGTTTTGGTTCGCGGTGGTTTGTAGTGTGCAGTCCCAAGCTGCCATAACCAGGACCAGAGGGACCCACGTGGGGCTAAAACAGGTCAAATTAAAGCATGGATACTTTTAACTTCAAACTAGGATACATGGATTTGTAATATCGCTCACAAAGTTGGGTTCTCGTTTTCCAGATATTAGCCTCCTGCCCCTAGACGCCAGTGTCTTCCTTACTGGATTTTAAGTTTTTATTTATTTATTTAGAGGATAAGCCCCTTGAGATGAATCATCTCGTTTTCGAGGGGGTCCTCAAGATTTCACAAGGACAGATACAGCAAAACAGATGCAAATAAGACAAAAGAAAATCATTAAAAAAATAAAAAAAGTAATAAAAAAATAAAAATAAAAAAGCAACCATAACAAATACACACACACACACATCGTGACTGTACTGATGTTACACAAAATATGGATAATACTTACTTTAATTGTGCACTGCGTTCTTCTTAAAAGTGCTTACAAAGGCCTTCTGAAAACGCACATTGAGCAACTAATATTAAAAGCCTTGTCTACGTGTAAATCATTGTTAAATGTAAGGTTCTTATGTTTAATGGTGTTAAAATGGTATTAAAAAGTAAAGAAGTTAGAAGGCGGAAGTCTGCCCCCGGAACATGTTCTAGATTCTTTTTACACTTTAGATTATTCACTTTCGAAAATCAGACTAGAGTTTGACCATGTTCTGTTAAGTAGACTTTAAAGAAATTTGACTATGATCCGTTAATTGTAAAATTCTACTCTGTGAGATCAATATAGTATCTTAATTAGAATTTAAAGCAGATGAATCTATGCACAACGTGACAATTGGAACAGGGTTATAATGTGGTTAGTTTTTGGAGCATTAGGCCGTAAGCTTCCACTCTATTCCCTTTTTAAAACGTCCAACTTTGTCCCTGGATTTTAAGTCTTTAAAGAGTGACTCATTCTATTATCAAAGTCTTGTGTTCCTGAAATTACAAGGATGTTTTGTTCCTGTCAAACTGATGATGAGTTGCAGTCCGTGTTTCACCTGAGAAACCATGATTAAAACCTTCTGCACTGAACAGTTTGACTCTGAATGTCCCAGACTCCTGTGGCCTTCGATTCTCATGGACTCACAACACTTCTGGTTTGTCTTTCAGAGACTTCTGCTGCAGAAGAGACCTGCTGAGGAAGTTTACATCTTTAAATGTTTGCTGTGTTTTTAACTTTGAATAAAAATAATTAAATCTATTCTGTCTTTGACTTGTGTTAATCTTAAGGGTTATTTTTTTGCCTGTATAAATCTTGCTATTTAAAGTAATGGTGCATTCATTTGGACAGGATTGTATCAAACTATTACTGGCCATAACTGTCTCTTCTGTACTTTTCATTTGGTAAGTAATCTTTAGACCCTGCTTTTCATAGACCAGTCAAAGTGGTTTACAATTGTGGGAATTTGTCTCCACACAGATGGGAGCAGGGCCTGTACAAGAGGCACATGTCAGACTTATTGTGAATATTTTAGTTTAAAATGTCAAGCTACTTTCACAAATTGCTTAGGCAACCTATCCTTAAAGAAATGCTCTTAAAATCTCTCAAGGGCAAAGTCAAAACTAAATGATTGCTAGGTTTAGTGGTCATTGTTCGTCCTGTAGAGGGCGACATTGCCTACACCAAAACCTGCTTGAGCCCCATCAGTAATTCCTCCACTAGTGAAAGCTTCTGCCGTAGTCTTAATTAGTCACATTTTTTGGCTCTAAAGTTCTGCTCATATTTGACCTAAATTAGTAAGTAATCTCTTTATATACCGCCTTTTCACTGCAGATCTGAGTCTCAAAGCGGTTTACAATTTTTTTTGGGCATTTGTCTCACTCCACAGAGATGGGAGCGGGGCCAGTACAGGAGGCGCATGCCAGAACTATTGGACATATTTTTAGTGGTAGGGGAAACCAGAGCACCCGGAGGAAACCTACGCAGACACGGGGAGAACATGCAAACGCCACCCAGAAAGCCCCCTGTCCGACCAGGATTCGAACCCAGGACCTTCTTGCTGAGAAGCGAGAGTGCTATCCACTCAGCCACCGTGCCGCCCTTTATAATTAGAAATGGCTGAAAGGATAGTTTAAAGGGTATAATATAAACTAGATCTCTAACACTGGTTTGCACAAGAACTATTGCTCAAAGTAAAATATAATCTGTCATCGAACTAAAATGATCCCACGACCGTTTTGGACGACACTGAAAACCAAAAGTCATTCTAATCTGTAAAAGCGAACCACAGACTACGTTACTCCCCTCAGAGTAAAAAAGGCCAAAACTACAGGTCCTCAAAGGGTCCAGACTTGTTTCTAGTCTTCAGAACCATAGAGTGCGGTTATTTAAAAAAAACTTCTCACTAATCACAATCTGGTCCGCAGGCCTTTTATTGACATTAACACAGGTCCACAGAATACAAAGGTTGTATTTGACAAAACAAGACATAACAATTTCATGCCTGATGCAAGTTTACATAGTTCAAAGTTACATCTCAAAAGCAATAACGTGTTTTATTTACAGCGATTATGTACAAAACTGCATTTTCTTGAGCCACAGTCATAAATACTGAACTGATATTTGGTTTTACTGAACACAATAGTTGTTACAAGAAATGTTTTAAACTACATTTTTTAACTTTCTCTCATCGGTCACATATTGTCTGGCCTTTGTTCTGTTTGACTTTTGCCAATAGTGTGTGCATTGCTATTCACCTCATGTCCCTTTGGGTTTTTAATGGACCCCAAACCCCCTCTCCTAGACCTGTGGATTAGCCCCGGTCTGAAATAGGGGTGTGACGATAAATCAATTTTTTGATATATCGCGATACTTTCTCCCGCGATTCGATTATCGATATGCATTTGCCAAGTATCGATATCAATTTTTTTTTTTTTTTTAATTGGCATCAATACTTAATATATGGCTACATTACGCATCTCCATTCTATTAACCATGAAATCAAGAGTATTTGTTCTTTTATTTATGCCATAAATTGGCATATTGTATATTTCTGACCAATATATCAATAATCGTCATATTGTGATAAAAACGTTATCGTAATATTGTTATCGTGATATTATCGTTATCGTGAGCTTTGTATCGTGTATCGTATCGTATCGTGAGGTACCCTTAGGTTCCCACCCCTAGTCTGAAACCCTGGACTCTGAATCTCTGGACTCCCCATAATGGACTTGTGGACCAGTCCTTAGTCTGCTCTTGGGGAGGTGGTGCTCCTGTTGGGATTTTGGGCAATACTAAAATAATATGTACTTGATAAATCTAAGGAATGCTTTAATAATTTTAGAGTTTTAAGTCACATCAAAGGGTCGAGAGTCAGGTGGTGTCTATATTTTGCCATTCGTTTTTGATTGTGTAAATTAACTTCTATTATCGAATGAAACAGCAGTGCATTCAGGTTTGGCGCCCTCTTGTGGTTGCCTGCGACGCTGTCAAAGCTACGGCAGGATGTTGGTGTCAAAAAAGTCTGGTTGAACTTATGCAAAACTCCCTTCAGAAGTTTTTTTTCTGCGTTCAGTTCAAAATAGTCCACCATTGAAACACAGTCCTTTATCCGACGTTCCCGTTGATACCGCTGCCTCCGTTGTCGATGGAGACCACGTTATTTAACCCCACGTTCGACTCAGAGTTTGTATTCCGTCCCTTTTTTGTGACCTGCTCCAGCGACGTCCCTTCGAAGAGTCGGGCCATGAAAGCGAAGCCGTTCTGCCGGATGTAGGATTTCCCGGCGAACGTGTAGAGAACCGGGTTAGCGCAGCTGCTAATGAACGCTAACGCCGAGGTCACCGCGCGGCTCGACTGCCAGATGTGGTCCAAGCTGCGACACAAACGGCATCCATTAGAAATAAAGAAAAAGTATTGACAACAAAGGAATCTATGTGACTTTCCTCAAATTTGTCATCCCTATAAAGGTTCAATAAAGCAGGAGGTCACGGCTCAAAAATATATATTGAAAGGTACCTTTTTGTGGAATTATTTTTTTAAGGGATTAATCTTGAGTACTTCATATTATTATGTCTGGGTTAAAACTTACATGACAATATGGAACTCTTAAGTACGATAAGTGTCCTGTCCGTGAAATAAGAATGTAATCACTTCTTATTGACCTTTATTTAACTCCTTTTCATGTTTTTAGTGTTTGGGGAATCCTTGTTTCAGTTCCTAAACTTGGTTAAAAAAAAGTATATATTCAAATAGTAAACTGAAATCTTTTTTCAGAAGGGGTCAAACCACCACCGCCACATTACAGACTCCATGGAGATAGTGATGACCAGATCGAGAGCAGTGTTGGGCACGTTACTCTGAAAAAGTAATTAGTTATAGTTACTAGTTACTTCTCCCAAAAAGTAACTGAGTTACTAACGGAGTTACTCCACTATAAAAGTAACTAGTTACCAGTAAAAGTAACTATTGCGTTACTTTTTCGTTTTGTTCTGGAACATAATGTGCACCTGACGTGCGCATTTTAACAGTGCCAATATTTCCATCTAGAAAAGTCTGTTTTGCTGCTGAAGTCCTGTTCACTCTTCATCTCTCACTGTGCTGTAAAGCCCGCCACTGTGAATGTGGAAACACCGGTGACGAGCGGTGAGGCTGGTGAAGCACTGACTTCAGTCCAATCAGATGAACATATACATCATATAAATCAAGTGGACAATTTGTTTGGCTACAGCAAAATATGTTTTATGCCCGCATTGTTTGTTCATACAAAACGCAAAACTATGAGTTATGGGTCTTACCTTATAGCTATACCTTATAAATGACCTGCACAGTCCACTTCGGTTCAGACCAGTTCCTTGTTTTAATCCAGTTAATGGTTTGAGCGTAGATATGTAATCCTCCATTTGGAAATGAGTCCAATGAGTTTCAAAAAGTAAAACAAAACGCGCGTGTCCTCCATAAACTCCTCTGTTTTGCTGCAGCCGGCTGCATCCAATTTCTAAAACCAACCGTCTTACACTTCACCTCTCTTTCTTATCATTCCTATAGTAATTGAAAAATTACCCTATGTGCATTTTAGATTATGTAAAAATGTGTTATATGTATGTTAGCCAAACCTGTTGCTGTCCTTAGCAGATAAACCAGGAAGAGCAAGGAGCTTATCGATGGAATTGTATGCAGCCGACTTCTGCGCTCACATGCGCTCCTCTGTGGCTGACCTCACGGTGATACAAGCCGTGGTTGAGCGCGATTAAGACCCATATTTGTTTCAAAAACACAATTTATGAGCCATCCTCTCAACTGTAGACATGTGGATTGTAAAGGAAATATGATTTATATCAGCCAATAATTGCTGAGAGGTTTTCTCATCCTCCCTTCTCTCATGACAACACGTTCATTGTGCGTCTTGAGTAACGCTCAGTAACGGGATGTCGGAAATGATAACGGCGTTACTGTCAAAGTAATTAGTTAGATTACTCGTTACTGAAAAAAGTAACGGCGTTAGTAACACCGTTACTAGTAACGCCGTTATTTCCATCACTGATCGAGAGTGTGTCCTCTGTTGTGAGTTGGCTGTGATTAGTTGTTAGGAGCACCTAAACAAAGCGAGGACAACGTTGGGCTCACTGTTCCTGTGTGATGAAGTTATAGCAAATAATAACTGAGCTGACCAAACTGAAGAAAGAATGAATTTCCAGCAGACAATGCAGTCATTTTTGTTCTTATGTTTAGGACTTACAATTCTCTTGTGGGTGAATCCTCAGGGTACCACTGTGCAGCCACCTTCGAAATGAAAACACAAAACCGTTTATTTGTCAGTTGTCTCGCCGAGCACTAGGGATTCTGAAACTACTAGAACTCCAAGAGCCGTCATTTTGACTGCTCCCATTCAAACCAATGGAATGGTTGAACGAAAGTTTAGTTTTTCACCAGATTCATTTATAAATAGTAATTTTTGTTTTACCGCACTTTTAATAAGGGCTATAACTGGTCATTTTAATAATAATACAAAAAAAAAAGGCTAATGCTAACGTTTAACAGTAAACAGTGTGTTGCTATAGAAACTAGCGCTTGATATTCTCTGGTGGAAAATGAGTTAAATGTTAAACTGCAAAAAGTTATGAAAAATAAGTCAGAAATTGCTCAAGTATTGCAAAAATGTATCTTATATGGGATGAACAGAAGAATCTTGTTTTAGAATGTCACAATGTTCTGAGATTAAGATAAAAACTCGATTCAAGACCTTATTACCTCATATTTTATACTTTTTGCAGTGTAAAAGATCAACGAAAATAATGACATAGAATTAAAAGATACTGAAAAAATGTTTCCACCTGGATCATGTTGATGATGTGGTAGGGGAACCAGAAGAGGCCGAAGGTCACCACAATGGCCAGGATGAGTTTTTCACTGCGGACTTTCCTCCTGAACTGCGTCTGCCGCAGCCGCCTCAGGATCAGGACGTAGGAGGTGATGATGATGGCGTACGGGAGGATGAAGCCCGACACGGTCTCGAAGGCGTACTGGAACCTGACCTGGAACCACAGCGGGACCGGAAAGACTCGAGTTAGAACAAGTTTGTGACGACAGCAACATTCCTGGATTTACAGATGAAACATTCCCAAATAAAAGCATCACCTCCCTGCCTCAGTCCTTGGTCTACGGCCTCAGTCCTGGGTCTACAGCCTCAGTCCTGGATCTACAGCCTCAGTCCTGGGTCTACGGCCTCAGTCCTGGGTCTACAGCCTCAGTCCTGGGTCTACAGCCTCAGTCCTGGGTCTACAGCCTCAGTCCTGGATCTACAGTCTCAGTCCTAGATCTACAGCCTCAGTCCTGGGTCTACAGCCTCAGTCCTGGGTCTACAGCCTCAGTCCTGGGTCTACAGCCTCAGTCCTGGATCTACAGCCTCAGTCCTGGATCTACAGCCTCAGTCCTGGGTCTACAGTCTCAGTCCTAGATCTACAGCCTCAGTCCTGGGTCTACAGTCTCAGTCCTAGATCTACAGCCTCCGTCTTGGATCTACAGCCTCAGTCTTGGATCTACAGCCTCAGTCCTGGGTCTACAGCCTCAGTCCTGGGTCTACAGCCTCAGTCTTGGATCTACAGCCTCAGTCCTGGATCTAGAGTGGGTCCCTCCCTCAATGTGGGCCTTGAGAACAGCGGAGATGATCCAGGACTTCCCACATTCAACCACATTTATGGACATTGGTCTCTGTCCTTTATGTGTTTGTTATCATTGCTCTTCCCGTGTTTGAACTGTTTAATTCTCTGATCTGTTTTGGGCGAATCAACGACTTTGTAAAGTTCAATTCAACTTAATTTTTGTGTATCCTTAAATCACAACAGCAGTACCTTGAAGTTGCAAATGTCCTGGATCATCACCTCTGTCCTTTAACCCTCCTGCTTCAGAGGAACAACTCTAGAAAACCCAGTGGGAGAAAGTGAGAAACCTCGGGCCCCAGACTGAGGAGGGATCCTGGTCCAGTCTCTGCGGACAGACTGCAGCCCTTAATGTCTTGTTCTTGTCTGAGATCGGGTGACAGCACAATAGAGCCACTGTTCTGTTCCGGAGCCTCAGAGTTCCACAGCAGCATTCTGTTACCACGATCACATTTTCAATATCAAAGACTCGGACCCACCTGAGTTTCTGTGCGTTCGGAATATTCTCTTAAATGTAGTTTCATCTCAGCGGAATGAGGGGAACTCAGGGATAGGAATAATGGATAAAGAAGTTAGAGTCAGCTCTGTTTAGTGGTGGAAGGAAAAAGTAAATTACATTCTGTTAAAATAGTCAAATATGAGAAAGAACGACGTGGGGGTGGAAACATCATTTGACCGGAGACATTTCAAAAAACAAAAACTTTTATAGCTTTGTCTATGATGTCATAGGCTAAGGCAGGATTTGTTTGTTAGCATGCAGGTTAACGGGAGAGAAACAGACACTTTGAAATGCTTCTAAATGCTTCTTTTTGGTACTTATTCTGTAGATAGATACTTTATTGATCCCTCGTAAGAGAAGTGTACATGTATTGCAGTTATCTCCAACCTGTGGCCCAAAGGATTCAGGAATTTGACATAATGATTACAGTTGGAGTCAATACATGGAATTACTATCGCATTCTCCGACAAACTGCAACCAGCAAATTCAGCACAAACTCTTGACGTCACCGACACGACCTACAACACCAGCCTCCCCCGCTCTCTGATTGGTCGGAGGAGATTCAACCGAGGAAACTGCAGCCACTAGGATCAGACCCAGACGTACATGTAGGAAATGATCATGGACCAGAGTTTACACATGGTAAGACCAGACGTACATGTAGGAGATGATCATCAGAATCAGAATCAGAATCATTTTTATTGCCACGTGAGTAACAAAGTTACCACTTGGAAATTGTCTTGGCAGAGAGCGTGCCACTTCGCCATTTGCGGCGCTGTGTGACATCATGGACCAGAGTTTACACATGGTAAGACCAGACGTACATGTAGGAAATGACCATGGACCAGAGTTTACACATGGTAAGACCAGACGTACATGTAGGAGATGATCATGGACCAGAGTTTACACATGGTAAGACCAGACGTACATGTAGGACAGGGGTCGGCAACCTAGGGCACGCGTGCCACATGTGGTACGCCGCGGAATAAACACTGGCACGCCGGCACCTCCGCATTATTCTCACTGTATCTGTCCTGTTTTAAAAATAAGAGCATCTGCCTCTTTGTCTGAGCGCTTTTTGCTGGCCGGCACTCAGTGTTGCCAACTTAGCGACTTTGTCGCTAGATTTAGCGACTTTTCAGACCCCTATAGCGACTTTTTTTCAAAAAAGCGACTAGCGACAAATCTAGCGACTTTTTCTGGTGTTATTGGCGACTTATCTGGTGTTTTGGCGACTTATCTGGTGTTTTGGAGACTCGTGAAGCACGTATTGTTCTGCTGTCCTCAACGTGAGCCCCTTCCCCGTCCCAAAGCACTACAGGCGGCCAGTCTCACAGTAGCCTTGCGCAGCAGTCCCAGCTACAGTCTATGGGCGGAGCAGAGAGAGAGAGAGGAGACTCAAAAGCACAGGGAGTTTTCAGGCTGCTGCAGACTGAACTTCAGCTCCACCACCACCACACATCCAAAGCTCCCCGGCCACTCCTACCACCGCCACCCCCCACTACCCCCCACTCCATCCGCGGCAGCTCTGTCCGTGACTCTGTTTTCTCTCAGTAGTGGGTCACATTAAATCATTTGTTATGCCAAACTATGAAAAAAAAAAAAAACTTACAAAAATAAACCTAAGTAACTCTGCCAGAGTGTGTCTTTTGGGTCACTTTGCCGGTCCCAAGCCCGGATAAAGGAGGAGGGTTGGTTGTAGAGCTAGCAATTTCACCCTACATAACAATCTTTTGATTACATTTGCTGTTATAACATTTAACAATACAGGACAAAACTGATGTGTGTAATGTGGATCTAGACAAAGCATTAAAATCATTAAATGTTGTTAATGTTGAAATTATTTTTGTACATTTGTAGTTCTAAACATATTTAGGGTGTTTTTACTCACTTTTGTCTCTCCCACGACCTTATTCCTCTCTCCTACAGCGTCCGTTACAGTTATTTGCAAATGGCAAATTATGCAAATTAGGCGATGACGTCATTTAGCGACTTCTAGCGACTTTTGGGACAGCCAATAGCTACTTTCCTTACTGAGGAGTTGGCAACACTGCCGGCACTAGGACCCAGCGGACACTACTGCGGGGATAAGCTGCTTCCCTCACACACACACCGTGTGTAGCTGTGGGTGAAGCCAGGAGTCTGCAGCTGCAGGTGTATGCGAGATTTAAACTTCTTTTTGCACATTCAAAGTAGTAACTGGTGTGCCATTCACTGCATACGCCTCCTACAATCACTGTGACACGCTGTCAACACTGTGTGCGTGAAATCAAAGAGGGAACTGGTGAGTTTAAGCATTTTTGTGCTGCACAGAGCTAGGATGCTAGCGCTAGCCTCTGATGCGATGTTGAACTCGAATATTGTTGTTCTCATGTTGATTCTCTGTGTAGCCGACTATGCCTTTCTATGTGCTCATGTATGGTTACCAGAGCATGACATTTGCTTGTGTGCTCTTGAACCAAAAGTATTAATACATTTATTTTTGATATGTGCACTGAACTGAATGAATTGTATTGTGATTTATGGTGCAGAGGATTAATTGTGAATTATGAAGTGAGAATGAGCACTCTGATTATTGAGTATATATTTATTGAACATGTACATGTATTTTTGTAGTAGTGATATATTGCTAAATGAAACTGTTGGATATTTATATTGGTCCTGTCATGCAGGCCAGGTTCCTTGGATCCGTCCGTCCATATGGACTTCTTCTGATGGCGAGCTGCCCCAGGCCGAAAACCTAGAGATTGCCAACCCTACAGTGCGGTAGGAGGCGAGCAGTCTCCCTCATACACCACCACAAACTGAGACAATAACCTGAACTGGATTACTGCAAAGTACACGCTCCACCTTTTCAAACCAACCTGCCAAACCCAACTCAACCGGACTCTCTCACTCAAAACCCGTTCAATTATTTTTTGTAAATATTGTAAACATTGTGAATGTGGGGTGTGTGTGTGTGTAATCTATCCCCTGCCTTTGTAAATATCTATTAGAGGTGCAAAGGTTCATCACTGATCCGTGATCTGTTCAGATCAACGTCTTCGGTTCGGTACAGACGTATGATTTATGAAAAAAAAGTTGTGCGCTCCCACTATGTTGTTTAGTTCACACACAGCGTAATCATGGCGAGCGGAGGAACAGAGAAGCCTGTGTCATTTAAATCCTCGGTATGAGAGCATTTTGGCTTCACTGTAACTACACTGATGATTAAATAGTCGACAAAACAGTCACAGTGTAAATACTGTGGCACAAGACCCTTTACGCACAGTCAGACCGGGCTAAAGTCAACTCTCCCGCGTATCCTCAGCTGCGCTCACAACTGACGCTTGGACGTCCCGCGGAACCTATAATAGATCCATGAACAGAACAGAACCTATAATAGATCCATGAACAGAACAGAACCTATAATAGATCCATGAGCGGAACAGAACCTATAGATCCATGAGCGGAACAGAACCTATAATAGATCCATGAACAGAACCTATAGATCCACAACAGAACCTATAGATCCATGAGCGGAACAGAACCTATAGATCCATGAGCGGAACAGAACCTATAGATCCATGAGCGGAACAGAACCTATAGATCCATGAGCGGAACCTATAGATCCATGAGCGGAACAGAACCTATAATAGATCCATGAGCGGAACAGAACCTATAGATCCATGAGCGGAACAGAACCTATAATAGATCCATGAGCGGAACAGAACCTATAATAGATCCATGAGCGGAACCTATAATAGATCCATGAGCGGAACCTATAATAGATCCATGAACAGAACCTATAGATCCATGAGCGGAACAGAACCTATAGATCCATGAGCGGAACAGAACCTATAGATCCATGAGCGGAACAGAACCTATAGATCCATGA